AAATAAAAATATCTTACTTAATTAATGTTTGGTCAGACACCTGAAAAGGTCATGAAGCAGGAAGGAGGAAGTTTGACCACTCCAGCCGGTCACTTCCGAGTACCTTCAAACCGTTAACTGACCACCAGATGTCAAAAGGGTGTGTTTCCAAAAATCTACACATACATGTATGACAATGCCCTTTAATAAATAAAGCACTTTAAAACATTTCCGCACTTTACATTGTAAAACATTTCCGCTAGATACCGTACCCCCCAGAAATTGAGTGTTGCATGTTTTCCTGAATTGTCCACTGTAACATTGAGCAAATTCATTGATGGTTTTAGCAGAGTTAAATGCAATTGTGTCCGGCCGTCTTTTGGACACCCTATTTTATTTTGCAAATTATGCATACACACATGTACAGTTGTTGCATGGAATTTGAGCAACTTGGACACCCTGTTCCCAATTCAAGGCAAATTTGGACACCCATTTTGAAATGCTGGCTAAAGCCCTGAAAATCACTCATATTTTGTCAAAAGTTCATTTTTTCCCCTAATATTCACACTCTAAATGCAGCTCAGGTGTTGGCAATTTTAGTAATTTTCTTGGAACATCCTCTGCGTGCCTCATATTGACCATTACCCAATGATATTTCAGCTTGATATTTACACACATACACACGTACGTAACACTTGCAGGTGTGTTCAGAAAATTGTGTACGGGTGTAAGGGACACACTTGGGTGTTCAGTGTTCATGTCTGCATCATGAGGTGTTTTATGCTTCAAGAGGATGTAGACTACATGTATGTACGGTACAGTGTATGTGCATTGAATATATTTTAATTTATTTGTAAACTGGCCACAACATGTATGAGCACTAATCGTTGCAAATTTAAGCAGCCATACCATAAAGCCGCTCTCATGCTTATTGACAACTGATTCATTTATTCAATAACAGAACATTAGAAATGTCACCACCTGCACCCAAAAAATCAATAAATTTACATGATGTAAAAACCTGCGTCAGATACGATCAGCAGGATCTACCGAATTGACTGCTGGTAATCATGTGATCATCTCTGTCGGCATAATACGTATTTTATGTAAATCCCACGTAATAGCAGCTTTATCCCCTCAATATTATCACTTTCCCAAAAGTGTCCACCTTTTTTTCATCTCCAACGATAACATTACGGATGTCCAGCGCTGAAAGTATAATAAGATTTAAAAAAAAAAAAAACTGCCTAAGTGTAGCCTTAGGTGTGTTTGGCAGTAGAGCGCGGTGTAACAGTATCGCCGATAAAGTCGCCGACCAGCCGAGAAAAGGCATTGATTCAACTCCCAGAGTAACGTCACCGATGCGTCTAGGGCAGTGACATAAGAGATGGAAGGATGAGTCATCTACCCACGGACAGAGCACAAACATTCAAGGGGGGGGGGAGACTGTATCGCGCCATGCTAAATGTTTTTTATGGCTTAAAGGGAATATACAACATTTGCAAACATCGAAAAATAAAACTACCAAGTTTTTAAGAAATACCTTACTAGGATGTTGGTAAATGAGAGTCTAAAGCATCCTGTAAAATTATGGCACCTGGTGTGAAGTCATTTTCAAGAAAATGGTATTTTTGTATACATTTCCAACGGTGATCGGCCGACCACTGTTGGAAAAACCTAACTATATTTCAACTACTGCTCCAAATTTCAGTACCTTTTTTCAGTCCAAATTTTGTTTGGTATTGGTTACATGTTCATGAACGGGTGCAGGCCAGCTAGACTAGTTCCCTTACCTTACAATTTTCTGGCAACTATAAATTGATCCATTTCATCTTTAGTGGAGTCAGGGAACCAGACTACTTGAACAATTTTGTTTTTCTTGGTTTTTCCAGCATTTTCGAACATAAAACTTCAAACATGTCAGTGTAACAATATTTGATATATTACACTAACCCCTCAAATACTCCATTTCTGAAAATTACAGCAAAAGCCAATGATGTACATTCCCTTTAAATTAGTGTACCTCAGGCTGTGGTGGGGTACTGTGGATGCCACGGCGGTGCTTCATCAGCTGTCAGCGTAGCGCAGATATTTATTTATTGAAGGTGACGAATTGATTAACACAAGTGATTCCCTTTCTTTTGCCAAGCAGTGTCAAAACACCACGGATGGATGAATTTGTTCGGTTATTAGAGGTGAAATTGCATCGACCGAAAAGGCAGTTTTGTCGAGTCGGGCAATTTTATTAGATTTTTTTTTTTCTCAGTCTGTTTGTCGAGCAGCCTTTCGAGCCTTTTTTTTTGTTCATTGTCTGGTGATTGTTGAAGTAGCCAACCAGCCAACTTTGTCGCTCAATAGACCCACCCTGTTAATTCACCCAGACTGAAAATCAGTCTGTCAATGAAATTATTCCCAGACATCGCAGCCTACAGTATGTTTTCCCTCAAAGTGCACATGTAAATTTGTTACTGCGCTTGCAAGAATCTGTTCACGCATGTGCGAATGTACGTACTGACATACTGAAATCTGTATCCTTGTGGAGACATTTCTTTGTTCTCGTGCAGTAAAGTTTTCGAGTTTGAAAGTGTAGTTTCAAAATGCTCTTATTTTAACCAGGATTAATTTCCTTGGCTGAAATTCGGAATTTATATCCCTTGGTTTTCTAAAACTCTTCCATTTGCGACAGATCAGCCCACCTTGGAAATTCCTTGTTTTTTAGTAAAATCCATATATCTATTTTTTGTGAAAACGTTGTGGAGACGTATTCATCTATAGAAATTGCCCTGTGGAGACATACATGTACATGTATACAATCTTTTGTTACCTATTGTGTGCATGTCTCCAGAGGGCACGGTGTATCAGATCACATTTACCGACCAACCATGAGTACAAGATTAACATTCGAACCTCATGTACATTGTAGGTACACAAACCTGAAATTTTTCACTCATTGAAATGATGACCATTAGAATAGACATATTAAATTAGAAGGGCGCACCCACAGGACTGTGTGTAATTGGATTTGACGTAATTGGATTTGTCTTAAAAGCAGACAGTAGTACTTCATACTTAAGCGTGGCATAATGGTCAGTAGTCGGTTAATTAATATTGACTGCAATTTTGTTTAAAGCTTCTGGCCCCCATCCACCATGTGACTGACAGCATTCATGCACGGTGCTGCGTCTAGGGCAAGATAACCAGATATTTCTATCACGGCCGGTGATCTACAACATTCATGATGTAATTTAATTGACGTTTTCTGGAGGCTGCGACATAATGCCAACATTAATCATTGACGGGAATTCATCTATAGACGTGTAAACGGGGTTATTGTGACACATTTCTAGAACACTTTCCTGCTGTTCGTCATTTGTCGTGCCAGAATTGCAAAGTGATTTTTTAATAGCCTCTTCAATTTTCAAGTTCTTTGAGAATAATTTTTTTTACCGGTACAAGAGCTAAGAGCATAAAATGTGGTTTATAAAATGAAATGCAGGGATAAATATAGGCGGAGATGCCACTATAATGTATTCTGAATTTTAAAATATTGCTGAATAAGCACGTGTATAAACATACATATATACATTGTTTTACTATACTCCCGAGGACAATGCTTTGTGTTTCCTTTTGTCCTTGTAATATAACACACCCCCATAGACTAAGCACACGAACCTACGGGTACTACAGAGGATTGTTTTGAACAAAAGACCCAACGCCCAAGGACTGAAAGGATCTGTTGTTCTCCCTTTGTGTGTCGGTCCTCGGGGGTTATGTAGAACACGTACATGTACACACACTACATACAGGGGGAGTCAAAAGAACTGCAATAATGCAAAGGAGGAAGGAGCCATTTTTCTTGGCTCAAAACCAAGTTGAAGTTTTCAACTGTTCAAACCTTGTAAGAATGACATATTCATTTGGTACTTTGTGTGCAAAAAATGAAGTTAATCGCATTTACCGTTTGTCTTTTGTGAACCTTTTTTATTGCAGTGCCCGATTTACGTTTTTTCCACAAGGCGTCTAAAAATTGCATATGTAAGAGCACAAATGTGTCCCCCAGAGCTGTTCTTACCATGAGGTCTAGAGCTGAGACATGCACTGCCTTGCAGGGTGGCCAAGTAGAGGGCAGAGCTCCAAATGTGTGACAAATGAAGGATACAGTAACTAGTCTATAGTAGCGCCCTATAGCCGCCCCAGAGAAACTTTGCATAATAAACATAAAGTGCTAAGTGAAACAGAAATATAAAGCTTCAGTTAAGGTTCAGTCAGTTTCAAATCTGTGCAAAATTCTGATGCCTCGTGGACTATAACAAATTGGGTACCGCAGTAAAAGGTTCACAAGAGACAAACGATAAATGTGATTAACTTCATTTTTTCACACAAGGTAACTGTTACTAACGAATACCGGTATGTCATTCTAACAATCTTTAACAAGTTTAAAACTTCAACTTGATTTGAAAAAAAAAAAAAAATGGCTACTTTGCATTATTGCAGTTATTTTTTACTGACCCTGTACATGTAATGATGTTTTGTTACACTGCACTCTTATTCATAATAATACTTCACCTGTGTTTGACCATGCATTGTCAAACACACATAAATATCAGGCATACAGTCATTCCACAACTGTTTCAATTCACTGTTTAATCAATCAATCAATCAATTAGTTAAAGATGCATTCCCTGTGCTATTTTCATGTTTCAACTTGAAAAATAGCTTTGTTTTTCATTCCTAGAAATACCAGTACATGTACATGTAAGACAGTTATTCACTTTTGAATTGAGACATCGAACAAAACAAATCCACTGAAGTTTACTTATTGAATAGTTGCAGATGCCCAAAATCAGAATAAATACAAATTGAAAAGTCGTTGGGAGAGCTTGATCTCATATCGCTTTCCTAGTCTCACTTCCATTGTCAAGAGTCCTTCTGGGCCATAGGTGCTTCCTCCCTTTTCTTGGCATCATCTACTAAAAAAAATGGCTTTCATCCTCACTCCATCCTTCTTCTCATCAACCCAGGTCAAGGAAGTGACAGAGAAGCTGGCCCTGATGAGACGGGGTTCAGGGGAGAACGAGCGCAGTCCGAGCACCAGCAAGAGGATTCAGGCCCTGGAGGCAGCCTGCCAGGAGAAAGAAGACGTCATACGACACTTGGAGAAGCAACTCACAGAACAGGTGAGACTTAATGTACATGTAGATCGCATCACCAGATGAGACATTAGTCATTGAACATCTCAAGTTGGTAAACCAGATCGTGTCTTAGCACACATCCGTAGAGCTGCTGAACAGTAGAAAGTTTTACTTAGCAAATTTAATTCCTTACATCCAGCTTACATCTAGTCAAATGCCATGTAAATAATGTACATGTGCATCGATTGAAATGTGCTAAGCAAATATTTGTTGTGCTTCCCAAATTTTTTTACTCAGCTGCCCTATGACACTGGGCCCAGGGGGTTTAGAAGTACTAAGCACAGTCATTGGATTCTACTAAATCTTGAACTCAAACCAACTCAGAGATAGGAAATTTCACTTCTGAGTATTCATGCACTTGCTCAAACGTGACTCTGACCTTGAAATATTTAAAGCAAGACACACTTGTCATCGACTGTTTCTGGACATTTTTTAAAAAATAGCTGCTTATTATAGCGCTTTCCAACGTATGAACAATCTCAAAGTGCTTTACAATTATTCCCCTGTTCGTCAGGCTACGAGACCACGCAGCAGCAGATATCAGCGCGCATTCGGTCCTCTACCCTTACAGGTACCCATTCATACTCCTGGGTGGAGTAGCCCGGACCAACTTGAACCAAGCACTCATGACAAAGACCAACTACATGTAGAACCCAGACTAACTTGGTCCAGACCAATGGAAACCATGTCAGTCTTAGCCCAGACCAACTCAAGCCAAGATGATTTTGACTTGGACAAACTGGAACCAAACTACATGTAACTCGGCCCAGACCAATGAAAAGCGGGGTAGTATTGGCCAAGACCAGTCTTGGCCCAGATTTACGTGTATTATAACAGAGATGAACTTGGCATAGTCCCAACTACAAACAAGACCAACTTTGGCACAGAATACGGTACATACATGTACATAGAAACTACAACTGAAACCAAATTCAAAAGAAAACGCGTATATAAATTCCAGGCTTTCAAGTATTCCTACTTTTTCCTTTTTTTTCACGTTTTTTTTTTTTAACCTTGCTCCTACCGGTACTTTTCCAACTTTTTTCTTGAAATTCCTACTTTTTCATACTTTTTTGTCCCACAACTTCGAAAAATGAAATCTTACTGAATATTTTCCACAATAGTGTTACACACTGTCATGTGCAAGATTACATAATGAAGGGCTTGGGCGCAGGAGTACTGCAAAGTTCATGTACCATGTACTTCCAAGAGCTTACATGTAGTTCTGCATGGATCACATGTGTTGTGACTGTGAGTAAAGAACATGCCAAATGAGGCTTATGATGCTGTGGACATGGCTGAGTATCAATGAAAACTATTACCGGTACTTAACTCCTGAAAGCCCACAAAAGTCCTACATTTATCCTGATTTTGTCCTCCAAAGTCCTACGTTTGTCCTGTTTTTTTTTTTGGGGGGGGGGTGGAATTCTGATCCTTACTGTTCTTCTTTTTCACCTGGGTCTGCTTGAAAGCCTCACATTCGTACAGGTGTACATGTACACGTACATGTACTGGTACCAGCCTAAACCCACGTCATTTAGAATCGAGATCAACCCCATTCCAACCTCCCACCTCCCCACCCTCACTCACCACCCCTACATGCAAAAAACCTGCCATCTTCCCATAATACAAATGTACCCAAAGTCACAAAGTTTCCCACTTGTTGGAAAAAGTCGTGAGAGTCTTTTGTGTCTGCCATATATTGCCCGCCTGTATAAGTCATCATCATGCCTGGGTCTCTCATGGGAAACACGGCTAATTTGCTGGGCCTGCTGTGCGAGGTGAAAGCCAAGGGTAGCAGCTGGCCAGACCTCAACTCAAGGCATATCACAATTTTTTTTCAGGTGCGGTTTCATAAAAGTATACCAATACCGTACATGTAGAAACCAAATCAGCCAGTGTGAAATTACGACATTTTAAAGTGATTTTGGGGCAAAGTTTTAGTTTCTTGAGAATGTTCTTATTGTTCCTCTTGTTTTGACATATATGTGCATGTACGTACATGTACATGGTACCGGTACACCTAGAAGAATCAGATAAATTAATCAGTACATTAGTATCTAAAAAAAATTTAAAATGGCAATATTCTCCATTAAGCATGGATTCTTAAAGATGTACACTGTGTTTCCCGTGCTATTTTTGAGTTTCATCCTGAAAAATAGATTCCTTTTCTAAATTGCTGATTTTTCTAGCAATACAAACGTACCGGTACTCACTTTTGATCGAGACATCGACTGGAAAAATTTGGCCCATGTTTAGTTACTGAACTAATTACTTTACAATTTTGAATTATTGGCTGCCAGACAAAAATTCCTGTTCTCGCGGGGTAGGCTGGTTCCCGCCCCACAATCAGTATCGATAACGTACAGACCGGGAACCAGTCTGCTTGCAAAGCAGATCTATTTGTACCCAAAACTAAAACCTTTTTGTCAGAGGTTAAAAAAGGGGGGGGGGACCAGGTTTTTTGGCTGGAATAAAACAAAACATATAAGTTGAAAATTTATTTATAGAAAAAAATTAATTTGTTGAAGAGCATGGGGAACGCAACATTAAAAAAAAGCCAGAGATTTGAATGTTGTTACAGTCAGTCATTTACATTTTAATAATGATTGTTTTTAAAGGGACAGGAATGTAATGTGACAGTACTTGATAATAATTCAAGAACTGTGCTGTGTGTTTTCTGTTTCTGGGGAATTTTAAAAGAGCATGCTAAAAAAAAAAAAAATTTGAAGCAGGAAATTTCTGATTCACATGTTTGTACATGTACGTGCATGACAAGTGTGACCTTTAAAATATTCATGCACCTGGAATTCTAAGGTCTGAGTGTGATTCCATCCATGCATCGAAACCCATTAGGAATTCAAGAAACTGTACTGGGCATGGAAAGCGCAACTCCAGAGGCTTGCTGGCCCTCAGGGAATCAGTTTCATGTGCAAGTTGTCAGTGCAGAGAGCCTGTCAAAAGTGCAGTACAGGTTGACAAGTTGCAAGGCATTATTATTGCATGCCTTGCAGGGTGGGACGGCTTGGAACAGAAACGTATGCATAAGAGTACTGTGCACAAAGCGGAGGTGTTTTTACTTTAATGTAGAGCTGTAAATCATACGTGTCATTTATTGATGACATTTTCACTCACGAATGCAAATTACCCTTTGCTGGACAAATTTCCCCATGATATACATGTACATGTACATTATACATGTACATGTACCATTAAGTTGTTTTTCACACCGCATAAATATATCAAATTTCACCCGTAATACAAGAGCCAGTTATATACAGAATTACAGTGGTGGAAATTGTGTGCCTAAATTGGATATTATTTTTTTCATTAATTAAAACCCTCCTATGGAAACATGCATTGTCAGCCTGGTTATTACTTGGGTCAATATTGGTCAAGACCCCAATTGGTTTGTACACAAATGCCAGGAGGTGAGATACAAACATTTTGACCATTAGTGACCTCTTAAATACTGTAGAGGGAGGGGACTCTAGTTACTGTGCACACTGTATGAGAAGAACCTCACAGTAAAATTAACTGAGTTTTGTACAGTATACATGTACGTGTAGTGCCAGTACACTGAATAATGACAGGTTCTTTGCAAGTATTAAGTGTGTACACTGTATACCGGTACGTATACACGTACATTTCATGTATGTAGGTGACAAGTATCGCTGGGCGAGTAACTCGATTACTCGAGTACTCGTGAGTAGTAGCTTATCGTTGTTCTACTCATGGCTTTTCATGTACTCGAGTACTCGTCCTCACGGGGCGTGAGTAGAAGCAGGTACTCCCGAGTAGCAATTTAGGGTTTAGGGATCGCTGCTTAATATGTCCCCTGCAAACAGGGAATCACTCCCTCCACCTCTCTCTTCCCAGGATGCCATTCTCCCCCCCCCCCTTTTTTTTTCAAGTAAAGGACCCGAAACGTCGCACATTAAGGATCTCAGTGCTGAAGAATACGGTATGACTTGCAAGCTATTTGTTTATATAACTTACTTCACTGCCATGTCATTTTTCTGCTTATATTATTGGAATTTGGTTAACTACTTGCGAGTACTCGACTACTCACGATTAATTTCTTTGTGAGTACTAGAGTAGAAAAATCCACTACTCGCCCAGGCCTAGTGACAAGACTTGAAAATTGCATGCATCCATGTGGCTCGGAAAGTGCTAGAATTGCCAGGAAGTCACCCACACTCATGCACTTTACATGAAAGCATGCAGCTGTTCTTGGACCATCAAATTACATACATTTGTACATTGTACAGTCATGTAGATTTTCAAGTTTTTATTTTATATTTTGTCTGATCGTTTCCAGCGTGAACTCCGAAAGGAAGACAGCCAATTGGTGGATACCAAGATAGTCCAGATCAAGGAGTGGGTAGCGACCACCGTCAACCAGGTACCGGTAACCTTTGACCTGACTCCTTCAGTTTTGTATCCAGAATGTCCCGTGATTGCCCATTTGTTAACTGATAACATGTTTCAATTGTTGCACACTCCTACATGATATACATGTATGTGAATGTTGCTGCAATATTGCTCCTCTAATTAACCACTTCTCGCCGGGATTATTTTTGCCGAAAATTTAGATTTTCGCAAAAGGCAAAATTTTACAGCCAACTTCTGATATACAGCCAAACGCCACAAATACTGATTCGCAAGAGTCATTTCAACAGTATTTGTACGATATTTCTTGCCGAAACCTCATATGTTTCAATACTCCGGGGTGTGCACTGCAGCGTACATTGTACAACAATAGGCCGTGCACAAGGGCCAATTCAAGATCACACGGTCCACCTCCACAGATTTCACGGACTTTGTGTGTGTGTGTGTACAAAGAGCATGAGGTATTTGCGTGTTTAGATGTCACCCTGTGGCGAGTTGAGGCAATCTTGACGTCTTAACCCGTCAGCCGTGCCTGTGTATAAACACAGCCAGTGCGTGTTTTCACGTCCTCCGACGTGAACTGCGTAAGTGGTTTGTCATGGGGTGTAACTAAGGAAAGTCATGCGTGTTATGGAGGTCATGTGGGAACCATGATTAGAGTGACCATTTAGATCTTCAGCAGCCACCTATAAAAACCTATGAAGTCACGACCCAAACTTCCAATCAATAGAAACCCAGAAATGTACGGTAGGATGTACCGGTACTAGGGATGTATAGGGATGTCCACTGCATTACTCGTGGCACTCATAGTACGTACGTTGTTGTGGTTTTTTTAAGTCCACAAAAACATCAAGTATACTGCAGCTGCTGCTTTGTTCCAATAGAAATCTGTGGAATATCTTTGGAATGAAGAATTAACCCTCCTACTAGTAGAACTGTCACAAACTGTCAAAAAACCAACCCACTGCCTCTCCCATAGGTTTGTACAGGCTGGTCACCAACTGCCAGAACCCCTATGCATTAAACCACATAACTGTCAAAATCTGTTGAAGGGGGTTTGATAGGATGTCCTTAAATACTGCTACAACTTTTACTGCAAGTCTATAGACTTTATGCGTAGCAGCCATTGCCCTAACTAGAGGACAATACCTTTGTTTTGCTGTGATTTGCATGATTAAACCTTTGGTGCCTTCATCGTTACTGAATTAAATATATCATTGCCAGGCACTCCACCATATGTGACCTGCCATAGCATAATGAGGAATAACCCCCACCTTTGACTTTTCCAGTTACATACATGTACATCATGTTAAAGCGCAAATCATTGGCTTTCCAATGATATCAAATTTATTTCTGTAGCTTAATTTTTTTCAAAGATATGCAGCAAAACTTCAACAGTGTCCCGTCGAACTTCGCCGACCTCATTTCGAGAAAAACTGCTTTGAAACAAAAGATACGCATTGCGCCTCCAACGGCAGTGAAAAAAGTTCTTAAGTTTTTCCACTTTTGGGGGCATTTTTCATAACAACAAATTATAGTGTGAATCTTGGACACCTTGGCTACTCAAAAATACCCCCCCCCCCAATTTTCAGATGATTTTTTTTAGGTATACCCGACTTCATGCGTCGATTACTCAAAACAAGGTTTTGCGGGACATTCCTCATTTTGCCACAGCAGGTCACATATCTATATTACTGTCAGTCAAGGCATGGTACCTTCAGTTGACAAAATTGCCACAGCCTGTCAGTTGTACCAATATGAGCCCAATTTACAAAACTGTTAAAAAGTGTCACTTGATAGATTTGACAGATAGGGTATCTCTGTCCATTTTGTCACACAGAGAGAGGGAGGGTTTTTAATGTGTTTATCAACCATAATGTTCCAATCGCCTTTGCAAAACTTGTCATTACGAAATTCATATTTTTGACCCTCATTAGTCATTTAAGAATGGACCCTTACTGAAGGGTCTTCAGTTTCAATTAATAATCATTACACTTGTACACTTGCACTAACACACGGATGTTTACGTTACATACCTAGTGTGGACATTCCTTTGTTTTCGTGTAGTTAATAAAAACCTCTGGAAAAAAACTCATTTTACTCACACTGTGAAAACACTTTCAACACAATTCTTTTCTATGATTCCCTTTAGTGTTTCTCTTCATTTTGCCATGGATAAACCTAACCCAAAAATGCCTCCCCATAAACCTGTTTTCCACTTCCAGAGAGGGGGAAACATTGTGTGGACGTGGAGAAGTCCACACAACGTCGCTGCTACCTGGTTTATGTGGACATCTATTGTAAGGAAATCCACACAGTGAATGTAATGCCAAGGGCGGATCCAGAACACAATTTTAGGGGGGGCCAAAAAAAAAATTGGTCCCCCAAAAAAGTGGGCCAAAAAATTACGGCGTGGGGTTCGGGGCCCGCTTAAGGGCCCCGAAAAAATTGTTGGATTCTAGATGCTCTGTGGTGCGATCTGAGGCAATTTCTGACCACTTTAACCAATTTTTGTTGAGGAAAAGATGGTGGTGTACTCATTGCCTGCCTTTATTGCGATGTCACATAAAAAAAAAAAAAATTAGTTTCGTTTTGGAGGGGGCCATGGCCCCCTTTGGCCCCCCCCCCCCCGGCCCCCCCCCCCTGGATCCGCCCTTGTGTAATGCTTGCACACGAGAGCCCATGTAGTCTTTCTCGTATAGTGTAAAAAAAACTTTGACTGCACTTGTGAGACCTTTGTATTCTCAAATGGGCTGAACCATGCCAGACCTATTAGATCAGCAGCAGTTGGGGAAGCATTCAATATCCTTTTTCTCAATGCTATTCCTTTAGCATCTGGGACAGATTGGGCACATCAGGTCTATCTTTAGGACAGGATGTGAAAACATCATGATCTAGATCCACGTATAGTATTCCACAGATGTACGTAAAAAAAGAAAATTGGTCCACTGTGTCTGGGATCATTTCCTGTTGTTAATTTAGACACTGACTGTGTTGTTTAGACATGTGGCATGAATATTATAGGCCTACACAGTTGAATGTTCTTTTGCATTTAACTTTCTGAATAAACATTGTACAGGGTGGCCCAACATGAAGTTTACACTTTTTTGTGTGCAGATTTCTCAAAATTGGAAAGACATGTTGAAATTGTTCTATGATATTCCTTAACTACAAGAGCTTGGTAGTATATGGTGAAAACGGCGTTGAAATATACTGGTAGGCTAAATTAAGAAATGGCAACTATTTACTGAAAAATGGTCAAAAACCAGTTTGTTGACACACGCGTGTTATTATGAGATACATGTACATGTATGGTCAAAACAATAGACCTGCGTGCACAAAGAACTGCAGTAACAATGACCGAATCTGATGCAAGCGTGTGGACAAACTGGATTTTGACCATTTTTCTGTAAATGGCCGCCATATCTTAATTTAGGCATTATTTTCAATGCCCTTTTTACCAAATAGCACCAAGGTATTTTACTTCAGGACTATCTTTAAAAAATATCAACATGTCTACCCAATTTTAAGAAATTTGCGTTTGAAAAAGGTGTAAAGTTTTTTGGGGACCACCCTGTACATGTATATGTATACACACGTTCATGTTTGTCAATTGCTTTCACATAATAAATTGAAGCCAGCGATTATCGTTTGCCAGTGCTACTAAAACATACAGAATCCCTTGTATTATATTAACATCTTTTTGACAAGCACCGTACCGGTAGCTGATAACAGCGTAATGGTTCACTGAACGCGCGCAGTCAGAAATGCCAGGAGCACTTGTTGGATTACAATATTTCTATATATTAAATACGTTCATATTTGTCAATTGCTTTCAAAAAAATAAATTGAAGCCAGCGAGTATCGTTTGCCAGATGTACTGCTACTAAATCGCAAACCCTAAAACGTACAAAATCTCTTGTATTATAGCTGATTATAGTGTAATGGTTCACTGAACACGCGCAGTCAGAAATGCCAGGAGCACTTGTTGGATTACAATATTTCTATATATTAAATACGTTCATACATGTATTTGTCAATTGCTTTCAAAAAAATAAATTGAAGCCAGCGAGTATCGTTTGCCAGATGTACTGCTACTAAATCGCAAACCCTAAAACATACATGTACAAAATCTCTTGTATTATAGCTGATAATAGTGTAATGGTTCACTGAACGCGCGCAGTCATAAATGCAAGGAGAACTTGTTGGATTACAATATTTCTTGCCTGATGGGTACATGTACATGTACATGTACATGTACAATGTACATGTGCGTAGAGATTTTAAAAGGTTGCCAAAAATATTCAGCTGCCACGCACACGGCCGAAAGGAGGCTGCCTCAGCCGGCCGTCGCTAATGGAGCCAAAATGTGACTGCCGCAGCGCTCAATTATTGCGGGGCCAGGTCAGTGAACTGGAAGCCTTTTGTTCAGGATGTCCACCTCTTGATGAAGAGGTTTGCTCGCTCTCAGCAATACACTGCTTGCTCCCTGCTTTAAAAGGGAAGAGCTAGTGGGTTTCCTGTTGGCGCAAGTTGAGGGGAGGGGGGTTGTGTCTAGGGGGTGGGGCCTAATTTATGGGCATCTGCCGAATGTGAAAGACCCCTGCCTGTTTCCTTGGCACAATGGGACTCCTCTGTCACTCTTCATTTCATTTCAACAATGAGAGCTTTTTATGCTTCATATTTAGGTTTTTTTTGTTAAAAGGGTCAACCACAGGGGGCATTTTTTTTCTTGTGATGGGAGTGGGAAGTGAAGAGGACCTCGGATGGAGGAGCAATGCTCAAGATCAAGATTGGGGAAATGGGGGATGGGAGGAAATACACTGGAAGATCACTTGTGCTTATAAATTTGATCATTAAAGGTTTTCTAGTGTTTCCTTGCGTGCGTGTACAGCATTTGTGAGCTTGTCTTACATACGCAGTGTGGACTTCCGAACAAAAGACGTCCACATAATGTAGGTAGCACCGACGTTGTGTGGACTTGCCCCACGTCCACACAGTGTTTCCCCATTTCTGGAAAACAGGTTTAGAGGCATTTTTGGGTTAGGTTTATCTGTAGCAGAATGAAGAGAAACACTAAAGGGAATCATAGAAAAAAAATTGGGTTGAAAGAGTTTTCACAGTTTGAGAAAAATGAGTTTTTTCACTGGTTTTTCTTAACTACACGAAAGCAATGGAAAGTCCACACTAGTCATGTGAAACAAGTATGGGTGTGCGTGCGTGCGTTTGTATGTGGTGTAAATCGAGGACACACACGTGCAACATCATCGATAAATCGAGGACAGAAACCGAATGGAGGACTCCTCGGTTGGAAAACGTGTACAAAACCAATGAGAGGTGTTGCGAAAAATTTTGAAGTACAAAAAAAGGAAAAGGGAAGAGGAACAAAAGAAAACCCTTGATTTACACAATAAACAAACGTGTGTGTGTGTACATGTACCGTATGGGTTTGAGCGTCAATGCTGTTGATTGTCCTTTGTCTACCAAATAAAGGAGTTAAATAAAAATAAAATCTTTATATTCGCAAAATTTAGAAATACATGTAATAATACAAACAAATTTATCAAATATGACAATTTAAAGGGGGAATCAAAACTACACGCAGAAGCCATTTTATAACCTGAGCTAAATTTGCGGAATTTAATTTTTTGTCTTGCTGTCTTCTTCAAAATCAAGGAAAGAAAAAAACCTGTTTAACAAAAATTGTGTCAAGAACTATATAAATTTGATGAAAGAGCATGGTTTCATCCATTTTTTCTTTAATAGTTGTGTTTTTGTTTCAAGTTCGTTAGTCAATTCAATGAAAAATCAATATTACGAATGCGCTGTGTGTGCTGTATTCATACAAAGAACAACCATGACGCATCAAACGGTTTGCAGTTTTATGAATGCCTTTGTTCTGGGCCTGAATCATCCTTCTGTGTTCCTTTACCGAGACTTCAAGGAGAAATCAATTTTTCGTCAATAGATTTCATTGTTCCAGTTTCCCCCACTCGAAGACAGCCTGGCCATCAACCATTGTGTCAACACACAGCATCAAGTGTGCCTAGTCCAAGGCCTTAATTTTGTCAATGAAAAGACTGTTTATTTCATATTATAATTTAGTAGTAAGGCCAGCAAAAAAAGTCTCCGGTTTCTGGTGTGGAGCTTGCCCCAAAAGTGGTGCGGCGACGCGTTTTTTGTTTGTTTTTTCCCTACATGTACTTCTTTTTCTTCAAATGTCGGCTGATGTTGCAGATGACGCTTCGATCCCCTTAGAACTCTCAAAAATATCCTTCAGAGTGGAGCTCGAGGTAACCTCAGTAAGGCCATAAAGAATTCTGCACCCACTTACGATCTCGACCGACACAAACATTCTTCGGGAAATTTGGATAGTCAAGACAAAAATCAGGGAAAACATTAGTAACTCATCGTTGACCATACAGCAACATCGACATCATGCATGAGCTGCCAGGCTGGTCATTAGTCTGCTCCCTTACATATTGCGCTATATTAAAAAGCGTTTACAGGTTCCAGATACATAGCCATCGCTCCCTCAGTCTGGCTTCCAGACGCGCTATTTCAAACATTCCAACAGTCCATCTGCAAATGGTAATTTAGTGCAAAAATATATGGAAGCCAAGCGAGGCCACATAAAGCTTATACTCGAAAGCTTATTAACCCCATCTAAAAATATGTGCAGCAGCAGGATTCCAGTCAAACCAGTGAGTTTCTTCTTGGCGATTTTGAGACATCATCTTATATTGAAAAAAAAACCTTTTTAAATTTTGCCAACCTGCACGGCTACGGTGACGCGCACGCAGACCAGAAACCGGAGACTTTTTGGGGGGCCTAAAGAAACAGAGACAGAACATGTGTGCTTGCTGTATTTTCTTCTCAGACTGAGTCACTAGACAATTACTGTCCGTTATATTGTAATGCCAAGGCAGGCCTTAAGAGATGGCCTATTTTGATAATGAGAACATTGTGCTGTCAATCACGAAAGGCATATATGACTGATGGTTTGTGTACAAAACTCATTTGGATGTGAGTGGACGGGCCCATGGAACTTGATAGCACAAAGCCCATGACTATTATCTCTGCCCGAGCCAAAGAAGAGTGATAATCCCATAAGAAGCCCGGCTGGCGTAAGGCTTCATCATCTATTAGTGTTGTCATTAATACAGCCCAGCCGCGTGTTGGTGTGCGTGTATGTGCAGCCGCACTTAAAGGTAGAGTGTCCGACACTTGGTTTCTGAGTTGTAATGCAATTAAGTGTAGATCATCATTAGTTTTATTGAGCAAAGCAACTTTGATTTAATTACATGTACCGGTGAATGTTGGAACCTGTATTAATTTTTCACCCAAGATGCTGTATATATTTGCTTAATTGGCAACTCGTAAAAGTGACAACTCCTAAAAAGATTTACGCATGCACACGTTTGTATTTTATTTATTTTTTTAATGAAATTAGAGAATACAAAATACAGTGCATAACATACATTTACAATGTCCGTGTACATTAACAATATGCAGGTGATTTGACATACATTTGGAGAAAAAAAAATAATTATGCCTATACCAGGCAAATCAAAAAAGTAGAAATACAAAATAACAGACAAAATACGGACCAAAAAAACTATGCAATATAGATGATGACATGAGGGCAACTAAACAAGCTTGGTGATCAGCTGTATTATCTCAAAAGTGGGTGAATAATGAGTGTATGGAGGGAGCATGCAAGTATGAGAAGTCAATCTAGGGAAGGACACAAGATACTGACAAACTGTAAAAAAAAAACCACCAAAATACAAAAATAATAAAACAATACTATGCGGGTCACGGACAACAAAAGTAAATGTTCATGTACATGTATTGATATGGATCGAAGGAGAAGTTACATGTATAATACCGGTACATCTACATGTAGAAGCATGATCCTGCATTAGTCAGATTCATGTACTGTAGAGAACAGACTGCATGATTTACATTTACATGTATGCATTTAAGACATTGTTCTTTGTCTGTTGTCTGTTGTCAATAAGGACTGGCTTTTCAAAACAAGCATTTGGAAGTCGATACTTCCAACACCACAACTGCAGATTCATTAATGTTCTTCACTCCTGTGCCCTGAAATGCACTCCCAACTATAGCTTTAATCATGGGGGGGAATCCTCACCCAACAGACACCAGATGGGCATGTCATATCAGCCCGACTGAGACCAGTAATCCTTATGATTGTTTGCTGATCTCCGATAATAAACTAGAGGGAATTTACACCCAGTGTGCAGTGTCTGGTTTAGCAGTCGATGTGAAATTGCCTGTCGGCGGGAGGGAGCGCTGGTGGTTGTGGCATCTTAAAGAAAACTGGAGGCTGAGGGTTTAGGCAAAGGGGTTCTTGTTGCCGAGTGATTGATGAGACCCTTCAAACTTTCACAGATCCCAGGAAATTGAAAATTTGCCACTGCAAATTAGAGCAAAACCCGTTGAATCATTTATGATGGAGGAGAAAGTGGATAAGCTGTGAGAAGTGCTTTGGCCTGGGGTGACGAGGTGGGGGGGGGGGAGAGAACTTGTGAGATGAAAATAAACTGGTGTTGGATGAATCATGACGATGGGCTGTCTGTCTTATCTCAAAGATTTTTAAAGTTTGATGAACACGTGGTGACATATTAAAACTCTCCAAATCTGCATCCTTCATCGAAAAAAAAAAGCTATTTCATAAAGTAAACACTTTATAGTTCATATACATGAACACTTGTGTTTTACATAACTCTCGAGGACAAGCCATTGTCTTTCCCTTTGTTACATAGACTAAGCACGCAAACTAACGATCCAGGACCATTTTCAACAAAAGATGAAGTCTTAAAGAGTCAAGGACAACAAAGAATCTGTTGTTCTCCGTATTTTTCTGTTTACCATTACATCTGAGGACAAGGCATTGTTCTAATAATATAACACTTTCCCATAGACTAAGTACACTGACTTGCATTCGAGGACCATTCTCAACAAATGATGTTCATATGAGGACAACAAAGCATGTGTTGTTCTCTCTTCGTCTTGCTGTCCTCGGAATGCGTGTAATACACATACACAGCGTCCTCTTTTCTTTTTTGCACAATTCTTTGTAAGGATGCTTTATGTTTGTTTTCAACAAGTTTTAACATCAACGTTACGCAACTGTACCGGTATGATTTGTTACCTACATGTTTTAATTAAGTTACCTATTACTATTTTTTCCCGCAGTTGGAGGAAGAAAACAGGAGATTGCGAGCTGAGAATGTGTTTTTAATCACGGGACAGCAAAGTTTAGAAGGTGAGTTTTTTCCTGCAAGGGAAGAATTCAGAATGCTCTTTAAAGACTGGTTTGTTTTTTTAATAGAACGTGAAGTTTTGCCAGTCCACGTTCACTTAGTATTTGAACATCTTGGTACTGGTACAAAACACTGACTACATGTAGTCTACTCACAGACCCCGTGTTTGAATTTACCCAATTGTTATCTGCGTGATCGATTGAATGGAAGTTGAGGTCAACAATTTTAGAATAGTCATCAATTTACAATATTTTAAATATGTTGTTAATTGTAATGCTTTCTTTTCTTTTGAAATACTCATTTTTCCACCCTTGATAGGATGGGCCCAGTCCGGACGCACTATAAATTCCCTACACAAAATAAAAGCCCAGACGTGAGCACTGTATTCTCGTAAAATCTCGCAGAAATGTTGAGGTCAACTTGCATGCTCTACATGTAGATCTGAAAATAGGCCATTAAAACAAAGCCCACTTTGCATACATGTACATGTATGTTTGAAAGAATTCCCAGAATTCTGACTCATCAATTGTGTGCATGAGCATGTACAGTATGAGAGCGTTGCAAGCTGTCATCTTCGTGTGTTCTTTAGAGCCGTGTGTTGGCCCATGATTGCCCATCAGTGCGGATGGATGCCCACCGGGCAGATTTTAATAACCCATACATTGCAGTTTTTAATTACCTATAACATTGGACAGGTTTTCGGTGAATGTGAGATCATATTTCCAGGACACTGTAGGAATCAAAAGTTGTATCATATTAAACATGGTTGATAATTACTAGGGGAATAAATATGTGCTTGGCTGGTTTTAAGAAAGTATGTAGTCCATCATTTGTAATTTGTGCATTTTGTTCGTTTGAAGCAACAAAAGTGTTCAAAATCTAATGAAGGATACTGAACAACTAACCTGATGAAGTTTCAGCTCAGCTTCAGCTGTATTTTCTGAGAAAAACAGCATTCTAGGATCTCAATTTCAAATCAAAAGTTGCTGAATCTGTTTTGAATTGGGCCTGAATTCAGCGTCCGAGAGGCGTTCTCACTGAGCCGATACTGCAGCTATACGCGATGTCGCGCACTGATCCGACGAATTATAGCAACCGCGCGCGCGTGTGCGTCGTGCCAATGCTTGTGCCACGCTTCGCCGAATAACAAAACGAACTACTAATTTAAATTTTCCGGATTCAGCTCGGGCCATAATCCGCGTCCAGGCCCCTAGCTGGTTTTAAACATACCTATTTAATACCAGCCAAAGCACATATTTATTCCCATTCATAAATACTGGTACCTTTCGGTCAAAAAGTCAAAACAAGTCAAATATTCACAAATTTCAAGTTCAACAATTTTACTTTATGTTTTGGGGAAATACCCCTCTAGGCTACATGTATGTGTCTCACGCGCATAGTGCTAAAAATCTAAATGGAAATTGGTGTGTGCCCAGTGTGTACTATGGGATGCAGAATGCAGTGGTGTTTTACCAGTGGTTTAAAACCACCCACGTGACCGGCTTTCGACCAATTGGAATTGTAAACTGTTGGAATTTGTAAACTGTCTCAGGTTTTTATGAATGTTTTTTTGAAATACTTGTGTTAGCTGATATATTGATGCTGATGCTTTGGATAAGCTGGTTTTCAGTGCTCAACCCTGGAAGGGAAACATTTAGATGCATTTAGCTGAATTTAACCATTTAGAATGTGTAACAACTTCTGTGAGTCTGTATTCTGTTATCTCTTCTCGTTCCCAACTTTGCTGATATGCCATCAAGTAATTTTCATGACTCCTGTACACGTATGTTACTTGCAGAGAGAACAGGTCCAGAACCAAGGCAACAACTGCCTCTGTCAAGGCCTACGTCAGTCCTCTCAGAAGCGCCCGAGATTCCTGCTCGTCCAACATCATCTAGCATCAGGGAGCACCTCCAGAATATCCTGGATGATAGTCAGACCATCCAAGGCGTCCCCATGAGGCCCAAGCCCCCTGCCAGAAACAGGAAGAGTCCAGATGACTCCCACGTCTCGGCCCTGATTCAGGTCCACGAGGAGTTCATCAAGCAAGGGGAGGAGAGACCCTTGCGAGACGAGACCTTCAAGTGCGCGGCCTGCGAGAGACGGATGAAGCTACAGGACTCTTGGATGTCGGACCAGGAGGAGGTGAGCCACAACACCTGGCCGCGCCGGCAGCCACTCCATGCCCATGATTTTGCCAAACAGCACAGCTACGACCAGCCAGCTCCAGAGTGTGCCTCTTGTGAATCGGAGCCGCGTAGAGACCTCATTGTTCACTGTGAGTTTTGCGGCCATGACGGGGTGCCAGTTCATGTTGAATCTGACGAGGAGGACTTGACAGAAGGGATGCTACCTGCGGACCACCTTCTGGGCAGTCAGGCATCCCTAATGTCCTTGTCGGATAGTTCTCTTGCCTTACATGCTCCTCCTCCAACCCCTGCCTCCCCGGGAACTGGAGGCTCCAAGAGTCTTGCCCACAGCTTAAACCAAGCCAGTAATAACTCTACAGTGAACAACAACAATGAATCGCCTTCGTCAGTGAAAGTGCCGGCGACTTTAGAAGCCTTGGCTGACTCCGTTTCAGCAACGGCCGAGATTCTCCACCAGTCGTCCAACAGCAATAACAATCAGACTCCTTCCTTCTCAGAAGCTCTTGTTGATCACACCCTGGAGTCTTTAGAGGATGCCGCCCACTCGCAGATGGAAACAGAAACCACGCTGGAAGACGACGACGATGATGAGGTTTTCCACAAAGACGGGTTTGTCCCGGGGTCTAGGAGCAGCGACTATGCCGACCTGTTCCAAGATGAGATTGAACACAAGTCCCCCAAGAAGTCGGAGAGCAAGTATCAGAGCCTGACGTCTTTCAACACTGCCGTGGTCCTGGGGAAGGACGACGACGACTACGATGAACCACCCGATGACTTCTTCAGCATGGAAAGTCCAGATGAGGCCAGTAAACCTGGGGCAAAGGTCTCCGAGAAGAGTAATCCTACCCCGCCTCCGCCTCCACTTCACAAGATGCCACCATGGGTGAGTAGATGGGTCAGCTAGGAGCCCCGTGGGTGAATACACCCTCGGCCAGAGTAGTTTATCAAGTCACCACAAGTCATTAGAAGTCACATTACAAGTGACAAGCTATTCTATGGAACCCTGACAAAATAATAATAATAATACCGAAGTCTTATATAGCGCACGTACATTGTATCTACCAACAATTAGGTACTCAAGGTGCTGGAAATTATGTCTATTATTAGAGACAGGTAAATAAAGTACATGAGAAATATGAGACCCATTATGTAGCACCTTAATAATGGTTTACAAGGTGCTGCGGCGCATTAAGCAGCCACTGCCAGAAACACCGGGGCAAACCCCTTCTCTTAGCGATAAGTGTTACTGGGTTCTTTAACGTGCATTACACAACACACGGGACCTACGGCTTTATGTCCCATCCGAAGGATGAAGCAATAATGGTAAAGTGCCTTGCTCAGGAGCACAAGCACCATGTTCCCATGGTCAGGATTCGAACCCATGTACCACGGTACACGAGTCAAACACCGTAACCATTGGACCACAGCACCCCACAAAGGCAATTCTTTGATTGTCCATCCCCTGCCACTTGTGCCCCGACTTGTGCATAACTCAGTTACAACTCTGTGTTCAGAAATGAAAACCTTTACTAATCATCCTAACACTATAGCACCACACTGATGTGTGGTAACAATCTGGGCCCAATTTCATAGCGCTGCTTAACAGCCGACTTTGATCCTCCATCTATTTCATAGGGACCGTTAAGCAGTAAGCACAGCAAAAGCACGCTTAACCCCAGAAGAAGCTCTGCTTAAATCAGTGACGTAAAAATAGAAATCTCCATGCGCGCGTAACCATTAGCATGAAATAGTGCTCAAGCAGCAGCATGATTTTCTGCTATAGTATGTGTGGTAACAATCTGGGCCCAATTTCATAGCGCTGCTTAACAGCCGACTTTGATCCTCCATCTATTTCATAGGGACCGTTAAGCAGTAAGCACAGCAAAAGCACGCTTAACCCCAGAAGAAGCTTTGCTTAAATCAGTGACGTAAAAATACATGACTGTGATGTGAATTTGAACTTCCGGTTAAATCGGATAACAGATACTCGGTTTGACAAAAAATTACGATAATCGGATTTTGAAATCTTCAATTTCTCCCACCACTAGGATTCATGAATATTCAGTCAAATAATATTGGTCTCACAGCTACATTTACAATATATTGGTCAAACTGGACTTGGTAGGGATTATCCGTACTTTCCCCAATCAATCGCGTTTTGAAATTGTGAACTCCTGCATTTATGAACGGGGAGGAAAGCTTCAATCTAACCAGATTAGGATTGATTCTGATTACATACTACATGTACCGTACATGTGCAAATGTATGTAAGGCACCTGTTTTTTGCATGTCACTGTTCATTGATTGATACATGTGTACATGTCCATACCTCTAACCAGGTCATGCGTAACCACACCCTTTGGCATACTCATACATGTACATGTAAAACGCCCATTGCTTATTTTAGATCTAGGTACTTTAAAGATATTAAAGAGGTTGTGGAGTGCTGAAAGTCGTTTTGTTTTTTATATTTTTTTATTGTGGTGTAGACTCATATCATAATGACAAAGTCCCATTCTTTTGTAATGTGCGTTTATATGTTTATAAAACTGAAATTCATCGAGTAATATGTTGGTCGGCGAGCGCATAATTGAAATCAACAGTCGTTGGGTTCTTCGTAAAATGAGAAAAATCGTGACGTAATAAACAGGACTCGTATATACTACGCTGCATCGGGAGTCCTGTTTATTACGTCACGATTTACTATGTTTTTTTTTGCTGCCCCCAACGACGACTTTTACACAAATTGCACGTTCGGGTCGAAACAGGACCTGAAAAACAGCTCTCAAAAGTACCTTTTGTACTCATTTCATGACAGATACAATAGTCGTTTTTATTTCATCACACCTTAGGCTACATATACCCGAAAAATGACGGAAATTTCTTCGAGCATTCCACAACCTCTTTAATCACTTCACATGTATGTACTTGACTTAAATAGCAAATAATTCAGTACATGCATACACGTACATGTACTGTATATGAGTAATTCTGAAATACAGAAATTAGAATTCGTCAGACCATATCATATGATCTCTTTCTCATACAATTTTTTTCTCAGTTGAGCTGGATTCAACTGGAATTCTCACCTGAGAAAACCAGATATTTTTGTATATATTGTTTCATATGTATTTTTTTTTTTACAGGAGAATCGGATCTACACCATTGCAGACAGGGGAATGACCTTATCGTCTTGCGTCAATAATATGGCTAGCCCCTCCAAAAGTAAGTGTTGCAGTTAAACTTACATGCTGTGCGTACAACTTTAGCCGTCTCGGTTTTGCAGGAGAATCATTTGAAAATGTATTAGTATTTTGTGGGTCAAAGAGAGCTGACTGTAGTATGATTCCAGTGCGCGCTCAAATACGGTACTGTAATGGTACTGTGTAACAAAATCAACAAGTTCGATCAAGTGCTCACGCTAAAGGCCCTGTCACACTGTCTGCGATCTTATATGCGCTCTCACTGCGTCCTTGAAAAATAGCTGGGGCGCAACAACAACTACTAGATTGCAGCGACAACTACATAGGACGCCAGATGGGCGCCAGAGGGTCTTAATGGTCTCCGATGAGCGCCAAGGTCTTTGAACATGCTCAAAACAATCGCAACACCTCTGCGCTCTGGCCAGAGCGCCGTAATGACGCAACTCGGGCGCTGTGCGAGCGTGAATCGTGCGACATTGAAGTGGCATTGAGGCAGCCTAGGCGAAAGACAGTCGATGTAGTCTCCATGAGAAAGTAACTCGACTGCGATGAACTTGTAGAATAATTTTGAAACTGGACTGTGTATTGACCGTTTTGTCTTGGTATTTATACAGCGCAAGTGACGTCACATGAGCATATTTTGGTCGAATAGAGAGCGCGACGCGAGCTACTAGGACGTATCAACAGCGAGCTGAGCGTAGTGTGAGCACAGTGACAGCGCAGCGGCAGCGACTAGATGGAGTAATTGAGCTTGACAGGGGCGCATAGAGAGCGAGTTGAGCGCATCGTAAGCGTGGGAAGAGCACAGTATGAGCGTAGCTTGAGCTTCTTTGAGACAGAAAGTTGTCATTTTCTTGCGTCCTCGCTGCGATTGTTAAATTTATGAAATATTTTTGGTCGCCGTAAGGTCTCCTATGAGATCGCATATAATGTGACAGGCCCTTAAGATGCTATGGCTATGTGAATATTCAAAATAAAAATCGTCGTGTGTACTTCGCGCTATACACACACGAACCTGGGTGTACATGTACGAGTTCTACATAACCCCGGAGGACCGACACACAAAGGGAGAACAACAGATCCTTTCAGTCCTCGGGAGTTGGGTCTTTTGTTCAAAACGGTCCTCTATCGTACAGTTGTGTGCTTAGTCTGTGGTAGAGTGTTATATTACAGGGACAGAGGGAAACACAAAGCATTGTCCTGGGGAATATAGTAAAACAAGAGTGGCTGTGCACAAGGTGTGTCTTGTCCACTGGACTCTCAAAAGTAGTAAAAGATTGTGTCGATTGTCCAAAATGCACATTTTTGTCAATGGCTACGGCTATTCAATAGTGTACCAAATACCAAAATCAAAGCCACAGCCACAATGTGCCTGGTGCGGACATGGCTTAATTTTCTGGGTGAATGTCTTGTTTATGCAGAAAGCAGAGAAGAAAAATTGAGAGAAGAAGTTGTGGGAGGGGCTTGCTCTCCCTCGTGTTGTTGAAAGCAGAGGAAACCTTTCATTTTCCCAGGATGCCGTTAAAAAAAGGGCCGCTCAGCTGATAAGAGAAAGTCATCCGTAAACATTCGGGGCTCGTGGGTGAGGGTCAAGCACTGACGTCGCTGTGCTCCAAATATGATAAAAAATCCAACATGAGCCCCCCCCCCCCATAAAAAGTAGTCCTTTAAAAAAAACTTTAAAAAATCCTGTAGCTGTTTTCGTTTCAGTCAGTGTCGATTTCTTTGTGGAAATGCTTAGTTAGCATTAATTGACATTTGTTCGAACCACGTGGGAAGGGGGGGGGGGGGTTGAGTTAGCCCTGACGTGCACTTCATGGTTGAAGCAGTACCGGGTAGGTGTCATTTTAGGGTGCATGTGTGCGCCACAGGAGACACGTTAACAGCCCACTTGCATTTGTGGTAATGTGTGAAACGCAGTACATGTTGTGTCGATCCATAATTTCAATACACGCAGTTGATTAGCGTCCCGATTTCTCTTACTTTATAGAAAATACAGAAGTCTTGTACCGATGTGCTTCAAGTTATTCCTGCCTAAAGATTTGTATGTTGTCCAGCTGTCACATTGCTTTTGTTGCAAAGAGATCATTTTTATTGACAGGTTTCGTTCATCTCGACGTTAATGTACTCTCTCAGAAAATCACGAGGTTCTGGTTAAGAGTTTATGCAGATTAACCCTTGGATTCAAGTCGGGCCAACATGTAGTCACGTTCTGCACATTTCCTCGCCCGGTTATTGGACACAACTCCATTACTGAGCCGTTGCTTTTTTTCTCTCCCCTCCTCAGCTTGCCCTGCCCCTATTTGCCAGTCTTGGGAAGGTTCCAGCACCGCAGCCATGTACAAAGACATGTCTGTCCCGGTTTATACCACTCTAAGAGGGGTAAGTATGAATTCTTTCAAAATCCTCCTCCACCTTCTTCTAGCACTTTTTTATTTATTTTTAAATCATCATTTTTGTATTTCGCGGAAGTCACATTCAGTCAGCATTTTGCGTTGTGAGTCAATCGAAACCGTCAGCTGGGTTTGAGTCATGATACTGGTGTGTCAATGACACGCAAGCACATTTTGAAAAATGCAAGCCAAGAGTACAAGCTCAAAATGATCTCTGAAGCTGCGAGCCAACAAATTCGTGTTTATGCATGAGTGACGTGATTGTGCCGTGTAATTTCTGGAAGGAGTAGTGTTTTGAGTACAAAAATCAGGCTTTTAACCCTAGTGACCCATGGTGACCTTTGATGGTCAGTGGAGACCCATTAAAGTGACACAAGGGAGGGACGAGTTGATGTATTATAGCCATGCAAGGCTGCACTGGAACATTTGTTACTAACTAACTAACTAATGGAGAGACATGACAATTTGTTAAGCTGCTGTCCGCAGCTAAAAGTATGTGAGAGAAGCAAAATCAAAAGAGAACTTCTTATCATTCAGGCATAAGATTTTTTTCAAACTTTTTTTCTGGGATGAGACTTTTTGAATTTTAGAGAAAGACATTATCAGCATAGAAAGGAATGATCTTTCAGACCTTTCATCCAATTTTCAGATTTTTTTTTAAAACTTGACAATCTCATCCTTGAGCATTCTGGCAAAATCCAAATTTGATTTGAGAAATAGAGGATTCTTCTGATAGTTGATGTGACTCCAGTGCAAGTGTGAGACTTTAAAAAGTTTCTTTATAAGTCACACAACTTGCTCAATTTATTTGGAAACATAACTTAGGTTGATTTAATGACATGCATAAATACCTAAGACAGTTTACCCATTCCTATTGGTCGAGAGCCCGTCATGTGGCCGGTTTTAAATGCTTGATAAAGATAGAATAAACACTTTTCCAGTGTCTCACGAAATTTTGACTCTATGAAATCCGGTGCCAGCACCATTATATTGGTTGAACGTTCACACTCGTCACGTAGGCATGTGCAATACTACCAGTGAGTCAGTATGTCATACATGTACTCCTAAATTCACACTACACTGGTACAGCGTTGTGCGCCACATCACGCAGTTCGCGCGACGTTCGCGTCAATCTCCATATAAGGAGTTGTTTACCAGAGATCCTTACCATTGAATAGCTAGAGGGGTGTTTTGTTGATTGAAATCGTTGAAAATTAATAATTTTTGACTTGTTTTGACTTTTGGACTGAAACTTTAGATTTTTTTACCAAAAAGGTATGAATGGGAATGAATATGTGCTTGGTCGGTATTAAACACTATGTTTAAGGCCGGTTGGAGTCTGGATGCTGATAATTACCCGAGCCGAAGACAACCGGTCTGAAATAGAGTTTTTAAATTCTCCAAAGCACACATTTATTCCCTTATTATTTTTCATGTCAAAATGAAATCAAAACAGACCCTTCATACCCTCATTATCGAATAGTACGCTAACTGTGGTTTTCTCAAGACGTCTCGTTACATCATCTTACGTCCACACAGGAAAATGTCTCGGTCTTACCTGTCGATTTGACAGATCCTGTTATTGAGGGGAAAAAATTCAAATTGTACTTTTGGCTATTTATATGATTGAAAAGCTACACGTGGACATATTTGTACACCTGACTTGAAAACAAGTTAAATCAATTAAACACCCTGTGGGAGATCGAGTCCCGGGGGAATATCCAACATCCCTAACGGCGTCCTTCCAACCTTTCTCCCTATATTTGAACCTTTTCAATCTCCTTTCGCTACACACGCAATTTGTACGTTTCCTTGCATTTCTCCTTTGCCCTGTCAGCACGCTGACCAGATCCGCAGCACTCCCTTCAGCGGCGATTCCTCCGACTCTTCGGACGAGGAGCACGGCGGAGGAGGGAAGCACTCCCAGCCCCAGCAAGCCCAGTCTTCGGCAGCCGCTGGCGGAACCCTGGGTAGAAGGCCGTCCGCCACCACCTCGCCGGCCAAGAGCAGCAGCAAGACCAGCAGTAGCAGCAACAGCGCCCTCATGTGCAGCCCGTCCCGGAAGCTGATCGTCGTTGGTGGCATGCCCTCGACCCCAACGCTGGGCCAAAAGAGGGGTAAAAAACATAGCTAACACATACTAGACGTTGTCAAGCTCTCACAAGTTCTCACAAGTCAATTGCAAGCCGTTGACAAGTTAGGCTGCATCCGAATCAGTTGTCTAGAGCTAGGTCTAGGTCTGCGCCCATTGAAAATACGCGGGGACGCACTGACAATAGACGTAGCCGTAGCTCTGGAAGCCCGTTTCGGACACGGCCTTATCATGTCTCAAAGTGACAAAGCTATTCAAAAGGGAATGTGACTATGACATTCCTTTGTAATTGTTCATTTCTTGTACCTGACTTGTCATCAACTGCCGATTGCAGGCCTGCCAACTCTCACGCATTGAGCACGAGACTCGCGCTCAATTTGTGGTTATTCTCACGTTCTCACGCCCACATGGGTTTTCTCACGCAAAAATAAATAAATAAATAAAACTTTAAAATGAGATTTAAATGATGATATTTTGCTGAAAAGAAATGGGTTCAAGTGGTCAGAAATTGCCTCAGATTGCACTACAGAGCGTCTAGAATCCCAAATTTGTCTGGGCCCTTAAGCGGGCCCTGAACCCCACGCCTGTAGGACTTTGCGCTCGAATTACTTCTGATCAAGTGTTGGTGAATATGTTTGAGGTATTCTAAAACAAATTTAACATGGTTTACTTCAAGTGGATAGTCAGTATTCCATGTAGCTCCCCTCGGTATTGGAAGTTGACAAACTACGTGCAGTTCCCTTGGCTTCATTTCAGGAACTACCGGTAACTTGCCAACTTCCAATGCATGTACCTCGGGAGAGCTAATATCGACTATCCGCCCTCAGACCGTGTTCAGTGATGTTACACTCGTATAATGAACATTAAATCAACCAATCGCACGCTTCTCTTCAATCCACCAGGTGTGTCCGCCCAATCAGGAAGCTCCGAGGCCGATTATGCAATACCTCCCGATGCAATCTCATGCAGCGACAGTACCAACTCGGACGAACCTGAACCCAAACTCCTCAAGACTTGTGCTGCATTCACTGCCGAGAATGTTCGGAAGGTCAGTATGTCATGACTACTAAGCATGTGACTTCTGTCTTCACTACTTGGTTAGAGATGCCTTTTTCCTGAATATTTCACTAAGATTTTTGAGGCGTTCTGGCAAAACTGAGGCAGAACTGGGCTCAGGCTGATTTTGGAGAAAATGCAAAAATGTAAATGGGGCATTTTTTTTCCTTCAATTTCCAGGTTTATTGATATTTGTAATCTTTGGTGTACATGTTTACTACACATGTTTTTTTTTTAAGAAAACGTATACACATTGTGGTGGAATATACATGTAAGTGTATTTAAGTTTTTAAGTTTTTTCTTTTCATGACTACCAAACTTAAAACTTTAAAGACCTTTGTCTCAGTATTTTGCTTTTATTACATGCTTGATAAATGCAAACTTTAAACAGCCATAACTTGTCAACGGAATGTCCAATTGAAGTGCAACAAAAAGTTTTGTAAGCAGCATTTTATTATATTTCCTAATACCCTCAAATCCTTATTTCGACGTCTGGCCAGTACTGTATCATTTTGACAGAACGCCTCACATTTGTGATCTCCGACAAAATGGGAATATTTGTTTTATAAATTCTAACCCTGACCCAGATCTTTCAAACTCCTCTGGGCTGTTTTTGCAGGATTTCTGAAGGACTGAGAGAGATAGAGCCCAGACACGTTTACTTACTTCTAATTTGCAACCTCCTGAGGCCCCTTTTAAAGGGAATATACAACATTTGCAAACATCGAAAAATAAAACTACCAAGTTTTTACGAAATACCTTACTAGGATGTTGGTAAATGACAGTCTCAAGCATCTTGTAAAATTATGGCACCTGGTGTGAAGTCATTTTCAAGAAAATGGTATTTTTGTAAACATTTCCAACGGTGGTCGGCCGACCAGCGTTGGAAAAACCTGACTATTTTTCAACTACTGCTCCTAATTTACCATTTTTTTTCAGTCCAAATTTTGTTTGCTATTGGTTACATGTTCATGAACGGGTGCAGGCCAGCTAGACTGGTTCCCTTGCCTTACAATTTTCCATCATCTATAAATTGATCCATTTTATCTTTTGGGGAGTCAGGGAACCAGACTACTTGAACATTTTGTTTTTCTTGGTTTTTCCAACCTTTTCGAACACCAAACTTAAAAAATGTCAGTGTAACAATATTTGATCTATTATACTAACCTCTCAAATAGTTCATTTCTGAAAATTACAGCAAAAGCCAATGATGTACATTCCCTTTAAGTTCAAAAGCCTGAAATGGGTCATTACATTTCTTCAAATTGTTGGAATTTCGGAGGATTTTCTCTCTAAACTCTGCAAACTTTCTTGATAACTTGATTCCATCATTGTTCCTCAGGGTTTCCGCATCCTGGAAAAATATGAAAACGTCATGGAATTTTTTTCCAATTTCCAGGTCTAGAAAAGTCATGGAAATTTGTAAAAATGGCAGAAGTCGTGGAAGAGAATGAAATTTTGTGAGGCCCAATTTATGTAAAATATTAAACTTTATATATTTATGAATTGGCATTGGAAAAATTTCGCTGATACAAGCATTTTATTTTCATTTTATTTTCATTTTCAATTTCTTTTTGCCTCGTGTATCCCCATTAAGTACGTGATAAAGCACTAGACAAGTTTTACAGTTTTGATCTGCATTTTGATGAACTAGGTCATGGATTTTCATAATTTGGTCTTGGAAAAGTCTTGGAATTTTATTGTCCTGAAGGTTCTTTTCTAATTCAGCTGTCTTCTCTCAGTTTTTCCCGTCTCATTTTCGATAATATTAAAAAGTCGTATTTCGTGATCGAAAGGTTGTGCATGATTTTTCACTGTTTTCTCGTAAAGTGTGATATCCAAAGAGCTGAAACTTCAACAAATTTGGTTTTGAACAGTCTTCTTTGAATTTTGAGTTGTGTTATTATTGGAAATGAACAAAATGCATGAAAAGCAAATGATCCTACATGTACACGTATATGCCTTTCAACTTGAGGTGTGCATGCTTTGGCAACCAAATTCAACAAGAGCTCAAGTAATACTTTTAAATTGAGGCCGCGATTGGTTGTCCTGGTAATGACATTTGCCTTGACCTTATTATTACAAGAAGAGTGTACTCGGTTGAAGGCCATGTACTCGCTCCAAAACTGACTTGTTTGTTCCGAGCGGTTCTATTCTTAGTCCAAACCGCTAATCTAAAGACGCCTAATTCCTTTGCTAAGACTCGCAACATTCTCATGGATGTCATTACACGTTTGTAAATATAAATACACATGTCACATATGACTTATTTTCTTATTTTTTGGGGGCTTGCTAATTGAGCATAAAATGCAGGTTATCGGGCTCTACCGCCTGTGGATTTGACATTAGGCTATCAGCGCCCCCCCCCCCCTTCCCCAAATCGTTTTCCAAATTTAAAGCTCCTGCTTAAACCTTACCCACGGTCCAGGAAGCTCAAATTATCCCGCCGCTGAAAAGATTTGCCCAACAGCGGAAACATTTGACATTTGTCTCATTTTTGAAAGGGGAGGGGGGGTGAGGAATGTTGTTCACTTTGACATAATAAACACGAACCACGTGTACCGGCCAGGGACCTTGCATCCTGTTTTCTGAAAACGAGAGGCTTGCTTCTCAGTAACGAGAGTCTTGCTTCTTCAGCGAGCGTGGCTCCTTCTAAGACTCTCAAGACCTTATTAGGACTCCGAGTTGGAGCTCTGGGAGGAACAAGCCTTTTCCCCAGAGGGGTCAGTGGTCCTGTTCCTGTCCAGCAAGCTGCTCAGCATGTTTTCAGGTCGGCTGCTGAGAGGGCCCGTAGAGTTCCTTTAGGAAGTTATTGATTGAATCGCTCAAATCGCTGTTGGCTATCATCCTGGAAACAATGCACATGTGTGTGCTGTGTGACTAAGGATAATTCTGAATTTGTAGGTATTAACATTCGATTTTGGCGACAACAGGAATTTAAAGTTATATTTCTTTTTTTATCAAAATATATGGAAAATCTTTCTGGATGTATGAGATTACTGTGATCACTTAACTTCAGAACGTTGGAACTGTTGTTCAACAGGGTCCATTAGAGAAGAGTGGTTGGCTGACCAAGTTCGGAGGGAGGATGAAAAGCTGGAAGAGGCGCTGGTTCGTGCTGAGGGATGGCGAACTCTGCTACTACAAATCAATGGTAAGTCTGTCACATACATTAAGTGGTTTTTTTTTGTATCACATAGAAAAATAGTGGTAGGAGGATTCAGTTTCTGTGCCACTATCAAAGCGTTTGCCTTGAACAGGCCACTTTCAGTTTTGTGGTCGTCTTCTGTTTGCCTGCATTTTGTCATCCATCATTGTTTTACGTGGAGTATAGACCTTATATGTTGTGGGTGCCTATGAGGCTGTTCTTTGTTATTATATTCTAGTAACAATGAATGCTCAGCAGGTTTACTTATGCCTACCCTAGGGATACAAAACCATTGCCCTCTAACTCCGCCTTAACGCATAAGGTCTATAGACCTTTATCATGCTGCCACCATTTCAGTCTCATTCCCTGTATCCAATAACACTACTGAATGATAAGTTTTTTGTGCAAAGAGGAACCAGACTATTTTTCCTTCCAGCCTCGGTTTGGTTACATTGATTTGAATGGGGAACAAATCCGATGGCTGCAACATGATAATGGTCTATTGGCAGTTTATGTAGCGCAGTGAAGAAAAAATGGTCCAAAACGCTACAATTTTTCCATATTGCTCCTTCCATGTTAACAATAATACTGTTTCAAGAACTACACTTAAGCCTGGTTTCCATATTGACGTAAGAAATGCAAAGTGAAACGCAAACAGGACCCAAACTGCAACGCAGACATACATGTATGGAAACATTTCATCCGGAAGTGTTGCTGACAACTCGGACCGACGCAAACTGCCTGGCAGACGATCGGCAAAGTTGAACCCGGTTTGACTTTGCCGACTGTTCCGCGCACTGTCTGCGCAGTCTGCATAGCCTGCGTAAGCTTAACGTCGATATGAAAACCAAGCTTTACTGTGGAATAGATTGTGACTGGGGATGCAATGCATGTATAAATCCATTGGAAGTTCAATATTGGGTTTTTATAAACACGTCGTTGACTGGCAAAACCCAATTATTGAATTTACATCACCCCGACACAAATTCAATCCTTACGAATAGTCCAGCGGAAGTGATTTACTTGGCAGTATTTGAGGTTGTTGGCTCTGCAATAATTTTATGTCACAATTAAGTTTTCCAGTTTTCGCTAGTCAGGTTTGTTGTTGTTAGTACCTTGGCCAGTTTGTGTTGAGGCTCGTATGGATCATCCCTGTGGCTAAACCCTGTGGATGTTGATATTTAGGATACTATCGACAACATGTGTTAAGATTTTCAACTTTTTGAACCGTTTTTGTGGAGTTTAATTTATAGGCAGGATGAAAGGCTGAGAAGGGTTTTTCTTACTGAATGTTTAAAGGCACATACATATACATGTAGGATCATTTGCATTTATCCCAAAAGTAGCCTACCGAATTATTATCCAAAAATTTACTTGGATTAAAGACTGTACTGGTACTACACCCTGTGCAATTATTCCATCTGGCTTGCTTATTTATAAGAAATCAAGAAATGTAGGTGATTTCCAATGATCATTTAATTGACTGATTTTTGGAAGTTAAGAGTGCTATTAACAAAATCACGATCGAAGAGTTGTGCATGGTTTTTCACTGTTTTCTCGAAATGTGCAATATCACGGAGCTTAACATCAACAAATTTAGGTTTTGAACAGTCTTCTTTGCATTTTGAGTGGTGTTATTATTGGAAACAAAAAAATGCATGAAAAGCAAATATCCTACATGTATGTGTCTTTAAGTGTTGTATCCCAGATGCATACATTTCGTCAAAAGCCCAGCTTGTGATCTGGTTTGTCCATTGCATGGGAAGTATGCTTAAAGTAGATCATTTGCAGCTATCCAAAAAGTAACTGACAAAACTATTGTTAAAAAACTTACTTGGTTAGTAATGGCATTAAACTCCCTGTAAAATTATTCCTTCTGGCATGCTGTCATTTTGAAGAAAACAGTAAACAAATGTCATTTCCAAAGATGAGTCAAGTGGAGAATTTTTGGAAATTTCTGTTAGTAGTTGGTTTGGAATTGGGCGAATCCGTGAATGAGTGTGCACAATCATTGATATGACGCACATCGCGTGCGTGGTTGCTATAATTTGTCGGTTCGCGTAGCTGCAATTGGCTGAATGAGAACGTGTTCCTGATGCTGATTTCGGGCACAATCCATAATATGACTCGGCAACTATTAAATTGAAATCGAGATCCTAGAATATTGTTTTCTCGGAATGTTCAGCATTCACAGATTTAAAATTTAAACTTTATCAGGTTAGGTGTTAAGCACCCGTCTTTAGTTTTAGCGCTTGTGTTGCTTCAAATGAAACAAATGACAAATGATCTACATGTACCTTTAATGCTATCCAGGGGCCAATCTCATGCAGTTGCTTAGCGCATAACTTTTTTGCTTACCAAAAACACCAACCAGTATGTCATGGGACGTACATTTCTTGCCAGTGGTTCTCAGCACGATTTCAGCTTAGCACAAAATATAACAGACCAATATAGTTTCTGCTTTGCCACTTCATGAAATTTGGCCCATTTTCGCAGCTGCCTTCTAGCTTGGAACAGCCCTTCTCCATGCTTGTAATCCAAGCCCCAGGTTGCCCCATGCAGCACCCCTAGTCTGTCAACCAACACCGGGCCCAAATTGAACAGACAAGTCAGTCGGGTGACCTTTTCCACTGGCATCCTGTTATTTTCCCCTTAATCTTCCCCCTCCTCCCTCCCTCCCTCCCTCCCTCTCCCCCTCCGTAGAACGAATCCAGTCGGAAGCCCCGAGGACGAATCCCCTTGGACACCCTGACCAAGATCTCCAGGTCGGAGGGCTCCTTGACCTTTGAACTTGTCACCACCAAGAGGACGTACTACCTGACAGCGGGATCGTCTGCGGTCATGGAGGAGTGGATAACAGGTATGGGAGGGAAACTGCTGACGGCCATTTTCCCAAAACTTCAGCTTTGCCGGTGGCTTTCGGCTGCATATCTGGCCCCAGAATATGCTCAGAAGCCGGTAATACTCAAACCAAAAGGAAAGACTTTAAACTTGGGTCTTTCCTATCATAGGGCTTGATGTATGAGAAAATGAAAATGTATGGAGCCTTGGTTTCTCAAGTCTGGGACCTTAAATCATAAAGCTGGAGTGAGACCTAGAGGTGGAGCTAAGGTTTGGTGGGGAAAGACTAAGAAATATTTGAGCCCAGATTAAAAATTATGGGAGCTAAGTCGTTCCTTCTCGTTGGAGTAAATTAATGTAGCATCATAGTCTGGTAGATTATGAACTCAAAGATTTCTGGGAGAATTCTGTAGATTGTGAGTTTGCGTCCAGCCTCTGTGAGCTTGCAAATGCTTATCTTTAGTTTGCCAGCTTGCTACATTGTACACGTCACCAAGTCACGTGTGTTCAACTCTCGATTGCTCGACGGAAAGGGCTCCGTGCACAAGCACCCCCGCAACGTTATTTAAAGAAAGGAGAGTTGGGGGAAAGACCACTGCATGGGAGAGATATTCGATCTCAATACCAACAACGCTTGACGCTCACGCGAAGACGCTATGGCTTTTATGAACATTCAAAATAGAACAAGTGGTGCGTACTTTGCGCTATATTTATGCACAAGAACCAGTGCAGGCACGCGTTGTGTCCTGTCCATGGGGCTCTCAAAAGTGGTAAAAAAAACGCCCTCCTTTGTTTGCGCACAAAGCCCACTGTAGTCTCCACCACATCTCTGACATGAAATCCATAATTATTGCAATTTTTTTTTTAATTCCAATTTTCCAGTGTTGAACAATGTCCTGTGCCGGCTGAACACCAGGGTCATGATGGACAAGGCCTCCAGCGACGAAGCCAAGCCAAGCATCCAGTCCTGGCTGACTAAGGTCAAGAACGGACACTCCAAGACCTGCTGGTGTGTCCTGACTAACAAGACCTTCGGCTACTACAAGAAACAAGGGGACAAGGTATGTTGTCGGCAGAGAAATGTGTGGTTGGCTTTGTGGTTTCTTTTTATTAAAGCTATAGTCCATCATTTGCAGCTATCCGAAAAGTAGCTGGCGTAATTATTGTTGAAAAACATACTTGGTTGAAAGATAGTAAGGGGACTAAACTCCCTGTGAAATTATTCTTTCTGGCAAGCTGTCATTTTGAAGTAATCAACGAAAGAAGGCCTTTCCAACGGTGCTTCTTAAGATGCACCATAGGAAAATTTAAATTAGTAGTTCGTTTTGTTATTCGGCGAAGCGCGCGCAAGCATTGGCACGCACACGCACCCCCGGTTGCTATAACTCGTCAGATCAGTGCGCGACATCGCGTAGCTGCATTCGGCTCAGCGAGAACGTGTCTCGGATGCTGAATTCAGGCGCAATTCAAAACATGATTCAGCAACTTTTGATTTGAAATTGAGATCCTAGAATGCTGTTTTTCTCAGAATATACAGCTGAAGTTGAGCTGAAACTTTATCAGGTTAGTTGTTCGGTACCCTTCTTTAGATTTTGAACACTTTTGTTGCTTCAAACGAACAAAATGCACAAATTACAAATGATGGACTATAACTTTAAAGGGGCCCGTGGAATGTAATTTTCTTAATGCAATTCTCAAAATGAACCTTTGTGTCCCATTTAACCTTATTTTCAATTTTCGTTTTCAAGGGTATTTTGGTGCCTTTTTGGTTTTGGTGCTAATGTGAATTTTCATATCCATGACCAAAAGTGTGATGTCATTTCAGGCAGAAACCTCAATTGTTACCTCAAGTATTTCAGCAGCAAAAGTTGTCAGAATTTTTGGATATTTTGCTGTCGTAAATTGTCTTTTCTTTGGTGATTCGTTGTTGTGTCAGTAAGCAGCAGTATTAAACCAATGAGCAAATTTTTCTCACGAATATTTTCGGTGAGCAAAGTTTTGGGTTCACAATTTGAACAGAAAATTCGTAAACTGAACAGTTTTCCTGAAATGACATCACAACAACAGCGCCCTCAGTTGTCTGGAAAAGCATGGAAAATAATAAATGTTTAAAGAAGAGCACTTTGCAATAAAATTAACCCAAAATGGATGTTAAGTACTTACTGTAAGTTGTTATTAACTTGACTTGAACCGCAAAGACCAAATTCATGAAGACGCAATGCACAGAATCCTGCTGAGCACAGAAAATGCATGCTTGGATAAAAAAAAAAGAGGTTACCGGCTGAATCGCCATTGTGGTGCATATTGCTTTTGACTGGCTCCCTTCTAAGTTTGGTTAGCACATGGCTCAGCTGAGCTAGATGTTCTGACTAGGCAGTCCGTAAAATTGGGCCCACATAATGCGGGAAGTGTCTCATTAAAGTGAAATGTACACCCATCGTATTTGATGAGCCTGAGCAATGAAACTGTCATCCTATTACAGCTGTGTGTGCTAGAATGAGAGACAGGCAAAATTAGATTTTTTTTTCCCCATTAGAAGTACACCTGTCATTGTTACTCTCGATTGTTTGGGACTTGTGGTTTCCCCAGAAAGTTCTCTGGGCAACTCCACGGGACAGTGGACATGGCTAAAAAAATAAAACATAAGTTATTACAGTATTCTGTTTAAACAACCAAAATGAGATTCCTCCTTGAACTTGTGTTGTATAGCATGTGGAAATTGCGATGACTATTTCTGTCAGACGTGCGCGGTACACACATTTGTTTAAACCGGCGAATGGCCTATATTTAAATATGCTTTTCATTGCAGGCCTATACATTGTACCATGGACATGTACACAATATGTATGCACTTCCGAACTCGAACCAAACCGATGTTCGGAGAAAAAAACATTCGAACCGCAACCGAACTGAACCGAACTTTGAGGATCAGTTGCAGCACTGATAACATCAAAGTAGCTTTTTGTAAAATGTCATTTGTGTTTTGTAAAATGTGTTTTTGTAGAGTGAAGCTGCATCTACTACAACATATCATTCAATTCTTTCAAGAAACTTCACAGACTTTTCTCAATGCGTTCTGAAAGTCAAAGTATATGTCAGAATAGGTAACGTCAATAATGGTTGCTTAGTGTGCTTATATCTTGTTAATTAACAGCTAACGCTACATTAACCATGTCATGTTAAGATTATCTCTTTAGTCACTGTAGCGCCCCCAACCATCCTGCCTGTTACTCACTGTAGCACCCGAAACCTCCCGAGCACTCTATAGTTATATTGATTCTTCAGTAAATAAACACAATGTAATACAATGTAGTACAGGTACTAATGGGTTAAGGCCTACATGTAAGCTAGAATTGTACTGAATACAGTGAAACACACTATAACAAACACCACTATAATGAACATTTGGTTATAACGAACTTCCCCTCGGGCTCCCGAAATAGTGAATTCTATTATAATGCACAATCACTATAGCAAACAACCACTATAGCGAACACTTTCTGTGGACCCCATCGTGCTCGGCGTTTCACTGTATATGCAATTTGCTTTAACTGCAAGTATTTCATTTTGTTGTTTCAAATTGGTCAGTAGGCTTTGAATGTAATTGAGTTCCATAACGATGCAATTGCCCTTATGTCTTGCTAAGTGATTTTTTTTAAAGTAGAATTTAACATTTATTGTTTTTACCAGATACCCCCAATAACTGAAACGTGTTCCATATCCAGCATCATCAAAAAAGGCCATTTGGGCCCAGAAATCCAACTTTAGTTTACTTAACTTTACCAAAAATACAACTTTGAAATGAATCCCCTTAACATTTCAGGTCATACACACTCAGTATCCTGTATTAAAGAAAGCCAAATTTATGGTTTTTACCAAATGCCACCAAAACTAAAAAGTCTTCTATATCCGGCATCATCAAAATAGTCCATTTTTTGACCAGAAAAATCCAACTTGACCAAATTTGCTCAAAAGTTCAAACAAGGTGCCTAGAGGCCAGAAATGAAACCCCTGCAGATTTCAGGTCATTAAACTCAGTATTCAGTGCGAAAACCAAAATTCATGGTTTTTACCACATACCCCGAACCCTAAACTGTTTTCCATATCATTACAAGCAGATCACAGTCAATTCTTTCAACTTGGTTTTTGGTTCTCCCTAGGTTCCCATTGGCACTATTGACATGGGTGAGGCGTCAGTCGAGGAGGTGGACCAGTCACAGGACTCAGATGACGAAGGCGACGGCAAGACAGAGTGCAAATATTCCCTGTGCCTGACTCCAGCCAAGAAGCCTGATCAGACCAACCGAAGCCCAACGTATCTTGTCTTTAACAGTAAAGAAGAAAAGGTATGTCATCTCTTAAGGGATGATTTTGCTCAAAGGCATATCGGATCATTTGCTTTTCATGCATTTTCTTTGTTTCCAATAATAACACCACCCAAAAACCAAAGAAGAAAGTTCAAAACCTAACCTGTTGAAGTTTCAGCTCGGTGGATAGTACTATTTTGAGAAAACAGTGAAAAACCATTCACAGCCTTTTGATCACGAATACAATTTCGTCAATAGCACTTTTATTTCCAAAAATTCTATCGATCGACTGATCGTTGGAAATCACCTACATTTCTTGATTTCTTCTAAATGACAGCAAGCCAGACGGAATAATTTCACGGGGTGTTTAGTACCAGTGCGATCTTTAATCCAAGTAGGATTTTTGGTAATAATTCGGTAGGCTACTTTTGGGATAAATGCAAATGATCATATGTGCTTTTAAGGCCAAGAAAAAAAATACCTGTGTTTCCAGTTACCCCACCCAACCATCATGCAGAAACTAAAACATTTTGTTAAAAAAAAATTAAAATGATGCCACCCCACCCTACATCGTCCTGCATTTTAAAAAATATTTATGACATTATTTGTAAGTTCCTTCTGTTCTTTCTTGGCAGGATAACTGGTTGTACCATCTACTGGTGGCATCAGGGGGAGGCAACTCAGACGCAGGCACCGAGTTTGAGAAGCTGATCTCCCGGTTGATGGTCGCGGACGGTAACCCCCAGAGTCCATGCTGGAAGCATCCCATGCTGTGCTACAGCAAGGAGAGCATTGAGAAGCCACTAACGACGCTGCCCTCAGAGCCGCTCAAGAAAGAAGCTGTCAAACTCGGCAAGGTTAGTTTTTTTCGTTTAGTCAATTTCATGGCACTGCTTATTTGGGGGTGTTTTTTTTTTTGGAAGGGGGTGCATTTCAAGGGATACTGCATCTTGGAAAGCATTTTAAAGTACTAGTTGTGAATCCTGTCGCACATGTTCCGCTACTGAATCGCATGCTGCGGACGTGTTGGAAACAACGTGTGTATTGTTGCTGTGTGTACTTGTACGCTATTATGGGCGGTCCGTCATCGCGTTATGGGGAATTTTATTATTGTTAGGCAAATTAGGACCGAGTTATGGGGACTTTCTGCTGACCCCACAGCGTCTTCGGTCCCCATAGTTCTATAGGATAACTTGTGTGTAGTCCCCACAACTACGGAACAAGTATGGGTGTACACACACACATGACATGTACTTTATATTGAATCTTCTGACGGAAGCCGGGGTCAACATCTTAGGAGGAGACTAATATTTACGGATGAAAATATGTGACCTGTTCTGTCAAAATCAGACTTTTCTGGGCAAAAGATCAAAAAAGAGGTTTTTGCATATTGTTAAAATAAGTAAATTTTCCTTTTAAAAGGTAGTTAAATTTTTGAAACCGGTCATTCCTGGGCAAAGTTATGCTATTTTGAAGTTTATTGTGTCGAAAAGTAGAAAACGAAGAAAATGGCCACAAACGTCACGAAGCAGACATTTCTTTAACTGATATACCTTAACAAATCATCAAAAATACTATATTTAGAGTTCAAATTACAGTTTCAAACTTTTATAGTATATTTTAGACATGTTCAGGATTACAAATATGCACAAATTAGAATACTGAAAAAAATCACCCCCACAGCATCTATATTTTGACCTCTGCCCAGAAGCGTCTGCCTTTGACAGAACAGGTCACATACATGTATGTTCATATATGCGTTTGCCGCAAAATGTCCGCCGGCTCAGAAGTAAACAACCAGGGGTTTTTTTTTCTCATCTTTTCTCAGGAACAGTGTGACACTAGGTTACCGTAGTTTCCTTTCAATCAGACGTTTGAAATAAGATCAGTAAACAATCTTAAACTACAAAAAAAAATTGGCAATTTCAGGACGATGTGCCCCTTTAATAGGATTTCACCACCTCAATGACGGCATCAAATTGTGGTCACCATATAGGCCTATATTCAAATGTTTGGTGTAGCAGTGTTCATTGTAGTTATTTTTCGTATCCAAATGCCCAACTTCAAATTGGTGTCTTTCTAATGGTTTTTTGGTTCTTTTTGTTCTTGACTCTTCTACAGTCATGCAACCTCTTCGTCACAGTCCAGATGGACACGTTGGCCATCGATTACCACATCAGCCTGGCCCAGAATGCACTGCAGACCTGCCTGTCCCACCCGGAGCTCCAGAACGAGATGTACTGCCAGCTGATCAAGCAGACGACAAGATGTCCGCCGGGATCCACCTCAGGGAGTATACAGGTAACCATAGTAACCAAGATGGCTTAGGTAACCATAGTAACCAAGATGGCTTCTCACTCCTCAGTTCGGAGCTTGTTTGCTAGTAGTGTGTCACAGGACAATGCAATAAGGGACTTAAGGTCTGACTTATTAAGGTTTCAGTGGGACTGATCATTTGAAATGCTTTGCATTTTTGTCAGGGAATACTGAAAAGAATCAACATTTTATGTGTACTTCTGATATTGATATGGTGCGTTGAAAAGACTGTCCTAAAATGTGAGATTCATGCCCTTCAATCAGTCCCACCAGTTGCTATTGCAGTTGCAGCAGTTGGTTGCTACATCTACTGCGTTGATTGTGATTTAGGTTACTAAAGCAACCACATACAGAATGAGTCAAAAAGAAGTTGACCAGGATTGGTGATGTTTTTCAAAACAAACAACTGACACTCAAAACCCCAGTGAAGCACATATTAAACAAGCATTCTTTTTTGCTTATCTGAAAAAAGAATGAAACAAATTGATCATTCCTAAGAGAAGTTATGTTTTTACTGAAAGCACTCATGTTTGTAGCTGTCCATGAAATGTTATTGTACACAGCTAAAATGCTTACTTTACATTTGTTTGTTCAAGTATTCCGTGGACAGCTTGCAAAATGAGTACCTTTATTAAAATAGACATAACTCCTCTTAGGAATGATCAATTTGTTTCATTTTTTTTTTCTAATTAGCAGGAGAGAGTGCTTGTTAAATATATGCTTTACTGAACTTTTGAGTGTCATTTGTTTGTTTTGAAAAACATCACCAATCCCGGTCAACTTCTTTTTGACTCACCCTGTATTTTGATCCCATTTGTTTTTAAAGTCATCTGAGTGCTTAATCAATTTTAGAAAATATGTATGAGAATTCATAAGAATGCCTTTGTCAATAACCAGCTCATGCTACATTTAGCTTTCACCCCCTACCCCATGACTTGTAGGGCTGTGCATCGGGACCGAGTACCCGATGGTTGATGCCAGGAACCGTTTCCAGATTATTGGATCGGGAACCCGTAACCAACTTTACAAATTGCTTAGTAACGTCTCAGACAATTAGAAAGGAAGGTTGTGAATATCATTTGTTGGGAATTTTCAAAATGAAAACCAGGCTACATGGATAATGTAAGGTTAGCGGAAACACCATGTGCGAATAATTTCTCAACTAAGAGAATGGTTCTGAAAAGAACCAGAGGTATAAACTCGACGTTCCGGTCAGTACATGTATGCTCTGACCGTCTTCAGGAGAGTGCCTAAACTCTAAGAAAGTGAATACTTAAGTAGCAAAAGGCAAGTTTAGGTACTCTCCTGAAGACAGTCAGAGCATACTGACCGGAACGTTGAGTTTATACCTCTGGTTCTTTTTAGAACCATTCTCTTAGTTGAGAAATTATTCGCACATGGTGTTTCCGCAAACCTTTCATTATTTAGTATCTCCACCATGCAAAGCCTCAAATCTTACTCAGGCTGCATGGGAAAACAAAACAAATTTCACGTTTGTGACATTTGCGAAAGTTTCAATTTACACCGTAAAGCTATTCATGTAAAGCTCACTGTTCACACTTGTATCTTGCTGTATTGATGCACCGACGTAGCAGTATTATCATGCAGACCTTTGAACAATCTGAGCAGCAACTTCCGAGATTTGAATTTGGGGTTGGGTCTTTTAACCAGTACCCGAGAACCCATTTTTTTTTTAATCGGGTATCCGATTCCCCTACTACATGTACCTGTCAATGCACACCCCTACTTTCAGTAAGTCATGTGACAAATTTCAGAAAACAACAAAAAAAGTCCCTCTGCCAACAAAATAATTCCTAAAATAGCTTTCCGCCCCTATTAAATATTCACATGAGCCTGCATGACCCCTGATGACCCTTGATGACCCTTGAACCTAACTTCCTTGCCCTGCATGAGTTGTTATTGCTTTCATTTTTGTTTGAGTTTTTTGTTTGCTATTTATTATTTAAGTTCGAGATGCTCTTTCATTGTTCTTTATTTTTGGTCGCTTTCTGTTGTGCTTGTCCATTCTTAAATGCGTCTTTTTAAAATTAGTGCACCAAAAGTTGACATGATAGACTTAGTTTTCTACTAGTTTGATATTCACAGAAATTGAAATATGCCCGCAGATCACACTAATTTATTTTAATTTGGTGAAAAAAAATGAAATTCCAAGGCTTTGACTAACTCCAGTTTGCAATATTTGCGCTGTAGATACATTGAAAAAAAAATAGAATGATTGAAATGTTTGAAATCAGCATGAAAAGTTGTTAACATCAGAATGCTTCTGTGAAAAAGTAACTCGACGTGATATAATTACTCCATATTTGTTTTGAATTGCCGAGTGACCCAAACCGATTTGATATTTATGATACCAGTATTTCATGGATTTAAGGCATTACATACAGCGTCAAATGTTCTGTGAAGATTATTTCAAACACAGCAATAAAACTAAGAATGAACAAAAACAACTTGAATTAAGAAAAATAGGTGTTCACAAAACCAAAACATTGCTTTGCGTTGTTGAATTGAATTTAGCTTGATCAGTTTAAAGCAATTTTTATGTGACGCTCGTAATTAAAGGGAATATACAACATTTGCAAACATCAAACAACAAAAGTACCTAATTATCACTAAATACCAATACTGGATTGTTAGTGAATGATAGTCTAAAGCATCCTATAAAATCATGGCACCTGGTGCGCTGTCATTTTCAAGAAAAGTGGTATTTTTTTATCAATGTCTAACGCTGGTCAGCCGACCAGCGTTGGAAAAAACAGGGTTTTTTTTTCAAACACTAGCATCTTCGAACACAACACCTCAAACAAGTCAGTGTAACAATATTTGCTATAAAATACTTACCCCGAAATCCATCCATTTCTGAAATTAACAGCAAAAGCAAATGTTGTATATTTCCTTTAAGTTTCACTTCCATGCTTATTGTTTTCTTTGTGTATTTCGTTTGCTTATTTATTTATTTTTGTTGTTGTCATCCCCACCCCTCATTTGTTTTTATTTTGTTACCCATCCCACCACCACCATTCCATCACGGCTATCATCGCGGCAAAACATCCCCCTGCCCTCCCCTCTCTGTCTGGGCCACACTCACGCACAGTCCCTCCTCTGTGGCAACTTCTCCTCCTGGTTTGGGTGCGATGCCCAGGGGTCGCGACCTTCGTCTATGATTGACCTGACCTCTAACCCCCAGCAGGTCAATCCCCACGACGCCTACCTGGTCCTGCAAGCCTGGCAGTTGCTGGCCATGTGCTGTGTCTTGTTCCTGCCTCAGCAGAAGTACCTGTGGTTCCTCAAGGCGCATCTACGACGACATGCCGATACAAAGTGAGTACTTTCATTTGTTTTTACTCTTTTTCTTCAGGTGTTTGGTTTGTTTTGGTTTTGTTATACACAGAAAAGATCACAAAAAAGGTAAGTGTTCTTTCAGCAAAACGAAAACAAATCACGTGCATCCCTATTAGAAATTGCTCGCGCGTAGTCAAGTTTTGGAGGCCGCCTCCTTGTTTGTTTGTTTTTTTGAAGAAAAGAAAAAGAGAAAAAAATGCTAAATTTTAAACAGTGACATCATTTTGGCCTCTTTTGCTGTTGCATCTAGCCCATATAAAGCTGATACCGGTATGTCATTTCCTGAGTCTAATTGGCAGTCATTTAAAAAAAGCTGGCGGCCATCTTAAAAAATAGCCCGGTCGGACGGCCATTTTGGAGGGGAAAAAAAAAGAAAGGGCCTCCTCCTTCCTTTTTTTTCAAAAAGGCAGGATGCTAAACATCTTTGTTTTTACTTGGCCTAAGGTTGTCATAATCGTGCCAACCCAGCACTGGGTGTTGGCTCCGCGTTTTCCTCTCAGTTTTTGCCATTCATCACAGCTTTGAAGGCTTGCCTGCTACCTACTGCGCGCAGCGCTATACGATCTTTGCCAACTACAGTGTCGACGCTGACTTCCCGGTACCCGGTTGGCTGGTCGCGTGGGTCAGTAAGAGAGCCCTATACAGAAAAGTTGCTGTTGGTTGCACACATCTTGCTGTTCTTTTATTGTATCATGGGAAAACACTTTTTTGAAAAGTACATGTATTATACTTTGACCAACCTGCAAGCTTTTAAAAAAATGTCAATGAAATTTGTGAAATTTGTACAATGTTTGAAAACATCAAAAAACAAAACTACCAAATTATTATGAAATACCAGTATTTAAATTGACTGTAAGTGAACAATAGTCTCAAGCATCCTGTGAAATCATGGCACCTAGTGTGCTGTCATTTTCAGGAAAAGTGGAATTATTGTATCAATTTCCAACAGTGGTCGGCCGACCACTGTTGAAAATAGATACAAAAATTCCACTTTTCTTGAAAATGACAGCACACCAGGTGCCATGTTTCAGTTCATATTAATTTATTTTACAAAAAAAACTGACTTTTCAAATACTGCCCCAATTTACAAAATCTAGCCAGCTAGACTGGTTCCCTGACCTGACAATCCCCCAATGTCTACAAATTGCTCTATTTCTTTTGAAGTAGGGTCAGGGAACCAGACTGCAAAAACAGCATTTGTTTCTTATTTTCTCCAGCATCTATGAGCACAAAACTTTAACAATATTTGCTCTAAAATACATTGACGCCCAAATACATCAACTTTTGAAAATTACAGCAAAAGCAAATGGTGTATATTACCTTTAAACATACAAAGATACAGGGTGAAATTAATAGGTCATTTGTTTTAAAGGGAAAATACAACATTTGCAAACATCGAAAAATAAAACTACCAAGTTGTTACGAAATACCTTACTAGGATGTTGGTAAATGACATGCTAAAGCATCCTGTAAAATTATGGCACCTGGTGTGAAGCCATTTTCAAGAAAATGGTGTATTTGTATACATTTCCAACGCTGCCAACGCTGGTCGGCCGACCACTGTTGGAAAAACCTAACTACTTTTCAATTACTGCTCCAAATTTACCATTTTTTTAAGTCTAAATTTTGTTTTGCTAGCTACATGTATTGGTTCCATGTTCATGAACGGGTGCAGGCCAGCTAGACTGGTTCCCTTACCATACAATTTTCCGGTATTTTTGATCCATTTCATCTTTAGTGGAGTCAGGGAACCAGACTACTTGAATATTTTTGTTTTTCTTGGTTTTTCCAGCATTTTCGAACACAAAACGTCCAACATGCCAGTGCAACAATATTTGATCTATTATACTAACCCCCCAAATAGTTCATTTCTGAAAATTACAGCAAAAGCCAATGATGTACATTCCCTTTAATACAGCATATACCTGAACCTAATATGTTACATTACATGTACAACAACTAAAATGACATTTTCCCCTTTTTAACACAGGTATGAATTACTTTACATTTTAGTGAATTACATGTATACAAACACCCAATTTATTCAATTTGTACTTCAAAAATTAATCTAGTTACTCATTAACAAAGTTTTAAAACTTTCTCTACACCGATCAGTTTAAAATACCGGTATCTAAAAAAAAGATAGAAAGATTGAAATAATAATAATAAAAAGCATTTCTAGAGTGCTTTCTGTTTAAGAAAACCTCCATACCCTTTTCAGCTGAACAATTTCCAACTAATAACAATAGGATCATTTGCATTTATCCCAAAAGTGACCTACCGAAATATTATCAAATAGCTTTTTGTATGAAAGATCGTACTGGTCGTAAACACCTCGTGAAATTATTCCATCTGGCTTTCTGTCATTTAGAAGAAATCACAGGTGATTTCCATCAATCAGTCAATTGCATGATTTTCAGAATAAAGAGTTACAATGTATATTGAAGAAATCGTGTTTCACGATCAAAAGTTTGTGCATCTAGGTTTTTTTACTGTTTTCTGGAAAAATTGTAATAACCACTGAGCTGAAACTTCAACAGGTTAGGTTTTGAACATTCCTCTTTGGTTTTTGAGTGGTGTTATTATTGAAAACAAACAAAATGCATGAAAAGCAAATGATCCTACCGGTATATGCCTTGAATAAAACCACTATACAGTAAATTATCAATAAATACAATCAGAATAAAGTACTCATGTTTTTCTGTACCTACAATTCATTGTCTTTTAGAGATACACTTTCTACATGTATGTATTTTTATGATAGCATTTCTTTCCATGAAGCAATATAATAATGCAGTATCGCATTGTTGATAAAAAACAGTCGTTTTCGTTTTTTGAGCAATTCACCCTCCAACATCTACTGTTTAATTACTTTTAATGATACAAATTGAACAGTTACATGCAGTGTCTAATGTACATTTTGAATGTCATTTTTATCTTCACCTCTACGTACATGTATTACACTCTTATCAGACGTGTTGGAAAATTCAAACTACAGCTGAAGCATATGTACAAAAAGACAAAGTTGGAAAGAAAAAATGCATCTTAGGCCAAAAAAAAAAAAAAACCTCGGTCTCTGGTCAGCGCGCGCGTCGATTTTAATCATGCGCGTCAACCTTTTTTTTTCTTCAAATTAACAAGGAATCTACAACAGCGCCCTCTATTGCCGCACCTCCTCAAATTTTTGTACCAAGGAGCACCAAGGAATGGGGAAATTACACCAAGGCAAATGATAAAGGGCACCAAGGCATATTATGGAGGACACCAATGTATAATGAGGACACAAAAAAGCAAAATAGTACCCACCTTGTCTGTACAATTCAAGCTTGAAAAAAAAAAAAAACACGTCGCCACATCAATTCCAGAGATTCGGTCTGACCAGAGACCGATTTTTTTTTTTTTTGGCCTTACTATTGCTTGCTCAGTACAAGTATCTGTCAACAGACAGGTACATTTTGTCCCACTCTAGACACACAAATTATCACTCCACTGTTTCAAACTACACACCGAACGTAATGTAAAGCAACAACTGAAACATCAATATGTAAAACTATAAAACTTCACATCCTTAAAACTGTCTCAGTAAGTAACAGAATTTGCTGTTCGAAATGAAATGTAGAATTCCTTCTGTATCAAATGACATGAGAAATACACCTAGGTTTTTAGATGTGTACAGCGGTTGTCAGATTTTGGTTTGGTCATTTAATTCAACAAGTTGCAGGAGACACATGCGGTGGTGTGGCTTTGTGCTGCAGCTGAATCACCGAACCTAACCAAAATAGCGGAACATGACTGTATAGCACTGCCAAATCAAACCAAACCAAACTCAGTTATTCAGTTTTAGGGTCGCGTATTTCTATTTGCGCAATGTAGACAATCAAAACTTGCACCATGAAACTACATGTATCAACTTCTGTTTAAAAGAAAACAATATTTTTGGCTGACAGTGCTAGCTTACACTGCAAGAAATGTACATGCCATTGTTCATGCATATAATTCAGCATACGCTGTACAATTAGCCACGTGTAGATCAGCTACAATCTGACTTACAATAGTAAAACTTACAAAATTAACGTTTAAGAAATGTGTATACACTGTATGACGTGAATCATCAGACATCACTTTTGTCTTACTTGTCTCTGGTATGGAGCGGTTCAATAAAAGGAATTTTTGTCCAACCTCTTAATCCTGTTTTCTTTAAAGAGAGTGTCCTCTTGGGAATGAACATGATGAAAGGTAAAACCATGTAGGATTATTTGCAAATTCCCAGAAAAGAACCTACTGATGTAACAGGTTCTTTCAACAGCTTCTTTGTTTTGGATCCAGGTACTTAAAGAATTTGGGCAATTTTGTTGCTTCAAACAAAAATAGAGGGGAAAAAAAGGATTACGATCCTACATACCTTTTAGTTGTACGATATCAGATGATGCTTGAACGTGTATATCCTGCCGAGGTTAAGATACATGTTCCGTGTACAGCAGTACATTTGGTCAGTTTTAAACTACCATGCGTTGCTAGCATTTTCAGTTTTAAACCAGAGTCTCTACCATACAATGAGTTTTGTCATTTAATTCACCAAGTTGCAGGAGACGCATTGTTGTTGTGTTGATATGGAGCGGCGTGGTTTACTCACAAGAGCCAGTTTGGACAGTAAACGGTTCATGCATTTAAAGTATTGTGTGATGCAGAGTGCATGTACACACGACCAGTTATCGTCGGAATGAATCCAACCATCAGCTTGAGCACGGACATCCATAGCGCTCAGGTGTCCTACATCTCTTTTTGTTCAATGTTGAGTGTGAGGGGTGCTACATGTAGTTCACAGAGTCCTCAGGAACAACGGCATTTGGGTGAAGTTACATTGCTTTCTGAGCGTGGGTCTTTAAATGCTGCCAAAGTGCATGCACATGTTTATGAAGGGCTAGTTGCACATGTCAGCATTCTCGACACGGCATTGCATGGGTGTAGCACATGCACGC